ATGAAAACAGACGTATTTTGCCTTAAAATTCATTTTATAAAATATTGGAAATTACGACCATTTACTTATATTATATAGATAAAATATACCTAACAATCGGTTAGATTTAATTCTAAATTATATTGTGGCTTGGTGCAAAAAGTGGTAATATCGTATTTTTGCAAAAATAACAATTTAAAATTTTATTTAGAAATGACTATAATGGCGTTTGTACAAGTCAATGTAAAAATAACATAAGCTTTAATTCTCTCTTTTTGCATTAGATACGAAATTTGAAACAGCAGAAACTTTTGTGTCAGAAATTATATGAATATGAATTTTTTAACATATCTTTAAGTGCTAATATCTCAACTTTGTAAACACTGACATTGGTACTTCTTGCACCATGTCACAGATATAGAATTAATTCCACAAATGTGTTAAAATTGATTCTGCTAGTTATGTATAAAAAGGAAAAGAAAATTGCGGGAATCATAGATTTTATTTAACCACATTTAGATCATAATTAAGAGTCTTTCAAATGATCAGCATTTTTCATCGATACTTTATCGATTGTTAATCTTTTAAATAGTAGCAATACGTTAATTTCTTTTCTCACACGTCCAATAATATTAATAATAATTAATTACACTGCACATTAATGCTTACATTACAAAATGTTCTACTCTTCCTATATGTATGTACCACTAATGTCCCAGTAATTGTTGTTTGTTATCACTCATCACACTGATTACCGTCTGGTGGTCTCATGAATTGCGCCAACGAAAAGAGACATTCCATTACGTGTACCTACAACTTGACATCAAACGAACTTTATCAAGGAGAATGAGAGGGCAAAAAAGCTTCCTAGTTCCAGAATAACAAGCATCGTCTAGGAATGCATTAAGCGGCGTAGTTGAAAGCTCGACAGATTAATTGCTAAAATGACTCTAACAATAAGATGATAATTTGAAGTATGCATACCTTAGAATGATTTTACCACAATAATTCAAAGTAATTGTAATGGATATTATATTTTTGTAAAATTTTGTTTTGTTGAAATTTAAAGATTGTTATTAGAAAATTATTATTTTCAAAGACATAATGTTACATAAGAAAATAGTAATCATTGGTGATGGATACTATTTTTTATCAAATTTTATTTTATTTTATATTTTACTAAAATTTCAAATTTGTTGTTAATAATTATTAGTATTTATCAAAAAAATTATTATTCTAATAATACTGTAATGACAGTATTATTTCCTTGGAAAATATTATGATAGACATTACTTTGCATTGAATTTTATTTTATGAAAATTGGAAAATTATTATTACTTGCTTGGAAAGTATATTAAAAGCAGTAATATAATTATAAATATCCTATTTGGTACCTTACAAAATTGTTATAATATTGATGCTACTTAGAATTCTCCTGAAATTTTTTTTCTCAATTATTTAATCATACTATATTTGTGGATCTACAAACCACTTGACATGTTGAACAATTTACGTAAATCTTCTAATTATTTTGTATGAAACATCTGTTTCAAGTGGCGCGCTTGAATCGATGAATTTAATTTGATACAGAAAATTCCAAAGACAACAAAAAACGTAAATGTCAAGCAAGAAATTATAATCAAAGACAACTGACAGATTAGAGACACGCGTAAGTTCGCTAAAGTCGAAGCTTGTTGTCAAACTTAAACACTGTTTCAGTATTTACTAGTGAGTTTCGTTTCAGATGTCGATTAGTTTGATACGATGTTGCATTCTCTCTAACAGTAACAGCAAACGTGAACGGTGTAATACATATTTTTAATTTATTTTTATCACCATGACCATCAATTTATAGTTGAGATAAATCTGATTTAATTTTATAAGTTTAAGACGAAGCAAGTGTTGAATAGATCATTACAGTGCATTTGTATCAGTTTTCAATATAATTTAAAAGAAGATTTGGAAACATTTTATCATTCGACGAAAAAATCATGAAAATGATGAACCTAAAACAATTATACAGGTAAGTCTTATTGGTGAAATCAAATTATTTGATGTTTTTGTTGTGAAAATAATACCTATGGATAGACTGGATGGATTATCAATTTCAGCAGTAGTAATGTAGTTAAATATATTTTATTAAAAATAAATACTCGTCTAATTAATTTAATTAATCGTGGATTGAATTATTAACTCTTATGTCTAAAATTATTTTGACATTTATGAAAAATTAATTCGTTTTCAAAGTTCACACTGAATTGGCAGTCAATATGTAATTGCAGAAAAAATGTTACATTTCGTCAGATTATAAACTGTGTGCATCTTGGGTAATTTTTATATTAATTTAGACAATTGAATAAATTATTATTACAATATGAAATTTTATACTGCAAAAATTGTCACCTATTTAATACTTAAAAATTATATTGTTTCTAAAACTTTCAAAGCCGAGATATAACATTTCAAAGTTTTTAAAAACAATTTGAATTATACTGGCAATGAAAACCAAAATATCAGCAAGTGCAATGAAATATTATTCATAATTTGCAGATTTTTTAAATACAAACTTCGACCTTTGTACGTTTTGAGAAATTATCTTTCCTTTATATTTCAACAGATAGTTACGCAATTTCCACGTCATTTCCTATTATCTAGCTTCACACTTCCAACTTTAACCCTTTCCCCCAAAAATAGGTAATTTCATTAAAAAGCAATTAATGGAACTGACAATGAGTACTTCTTTTGACATTAATCGATACATTTTGTTATCTTTCATTAAAAAAAGCAGTAAAGTACTTGAGTCGAAAGTTAGTTAGTTTAAAAGAAATTGTTTTAGAGAGAGACAGGGAGAGCCTAGTAGTCTTTCTTTAAGATATCTTTTGAACTAATCAATTTTCGACCCAAATGCCTTAACACTTTTTTGTGGGTAATAAAAAGACGCTTCGATTGACATATAAATAAGTATACAGGTAAGACAAATTTTAAGAGATAATTCTGGGATTCAAAATAAGACAAAAATAAAAAATGACAAAATAGCATTCACACCTTTGGTTCTTACGTTAGTTATTAAACGTTAAAAGACTCGAGTAAAAAGCGCCTAAAACCGGCAATCTCCATAGCACCGACGGATTGAACATCGTGTCAGTAGGGGTGTGTACAGTCATTTCCAACAATCATTGAATACTACATGGAAGCTTACCACGTGCTATGTACATATTCTGTTCTTCGGTGCTGCCGTATTAATATCGTATTAATTTTAGTGAATATGGCGTGCGTTATAACATTTCCTCCAAGATTAAAGAACGAAAAGTTTTATGCCAGACAACAATTTGTCAGCACCTTATATCATACTGTAACAAAAAGAAATATAATACACGTAGTAAGCTTCTATTATCAATGACTGTTGGTTGTGGCTGTGCAGGCCCCTACTGACACGACGTTCAATCTAGGTGCTGTGAGGATTATCTGTTTTAGGCGCTTTTTACTCCAAAGGCGTAAACGCTTTTTTGTCATCCTTGATTTTCGTCTTATTTTAACCCTTCGAATTATCTCTTCCTTATATAGTTCTACTAAAAGAAAAAGAAATTGAAATTAACTTTGAAATCTTTGACATGCATCCTCTTCCAGTATTAACACACACATAAAGTGATGCTCCAGTCTACACTTCTTAATTTTTCTATATTCGGCTATTTTGGAGTTATAGCATGCATGGGGCATATTGTATATGTATACAGAAGAGCTCGAAAATGAATTATTAATTTTTAAAACTGAACATAATATAATCAACAATTTACCCCTACACGTGACATAATATAGAAATACAAAGTAATTAGTACCAGAAAAGTAGAAATATTAAAAAAATAATAATAAAACTAGCTATATTATAGAAAGTTTATTAGCCAAATTTTAATCGTCGTTTTGCAGTTACCGATCATGCATGATATGCACCATAACTAAAGGATTAATAATTCTGTCCCAACGAAAAGTGCCTACATATGTATAATAAAATAGAATTAGTATGAAATCCTACAAATGTAAAAATATTAAAAGTGAAATGAAATTATATAATGGAAAATTAATTCATTAAATTTAAATAATCAACTTGGAACTACCAATTTATAAGCAGCACATACATAAAAAAATGATAACTTCTGTAATATGGAATTAGTGCCTATAAAGTCTTAGAAGCGCTAAAGTATTAAAGAAAAAAAGTAGAACGAAATTAAATTAAATAATAAAATTATTATTTGTCAAATTTTTATAATTGACTTGCAACTGCCGACCCATATTACGGTCGAACCTCGATAATTCGAAAACTTCTATAAGACAAATATTATATTTTCTTTATTCCCTTCCACTCCATTATAAAAACCTCTATAACTCGCAATTAATAAAGTTTCCGTTAATTTGAATCATTTATGTATTTTACCTTTACAACTCAAATTCAGGAAACAAAGTAAAATCACAGCTTGTTTTTAATAATAAAAAGGAATATTTCAAGTATAAAATTAATCTTACAATAATATTTATACATGGAGGTATAGAATACATAAGTTGTATATTTAGTTATAGGTATACAATCAACAATAATTGGCCTTTGAATTTGCCTTTTGTTTACAACTTTACAAGTCGAAATTATCAAACAAACCCTCTGTAAGTCGCACCTTTGTTTTCTGAGCACCGTGCACCGGTGTTAAACTCAATAAGCTGAAACCTCCAGAACTCGAAAATTTGTTCCCTTACCTCGAGATCCCCTAATGTAAAAATAACATACATTAATCATTAAAATATTAATCACCCTTCTGCTACCTCTTCTGTTAAATGCGTGTACATTACAACTGAAATCGTAAGAATATTAAAAAGGCAACAAAATTATCGATAGAATGTTCAATCATAATAGATGATTTTTCGATCTAAGGATCCAATCCTCAATCATATAATATTCATCCAAAAGCCACTATAATGATTTATTAATAGAGACGCAATATTTGACTCGGTTGATTTACCCTTGATTCGTTCGTTCGAAGGAACAAGTCGCAAGGATACCGAAGATTCGACCAGGATATCGGTAGTGGGGATCGATCGATGATCGTACCACAGTTAGAATTCGAAGCGAACGGCGAACGGTCGGTCAGTCGTGTTGTCAGAAGTGTCAGAAGGAAGTGTCGCGGCGACACGAACGTTCGTCAGGCCGGCGTCGTCAGTCGTGGAAAGGAAGCGGATCGGCACGATCCGCACGCGTCGTCGCGCAGTAAACTCCTGATCGGAGTGTTCCTTGGCATCGCGGTGTTCACCTGTCATCTTATCGATTCTTATCTACGAGCAGTCTGCCGATGCGCCACGTGCGCGATGGGCATGATGGGAATGTTCAAGTGGCTTAGAAAGTAAGTGTTTTCTTATTCGTTCTTTTTCTTTTTTCTTTTGTTTCATTGTTGTTGTTCTTCTTTTTGTTTATTTTCCTCTTTAACCCTTTCAATGATACTGACACCTATATACGCTCGACACGTGCTATTGACGCCTATAGATATTCAATTATAATAAACTTACTTGTAAGATAACGTCGGTTTTAAGTTTTCTGTACATATTTCGAAACAAGCGAAAATTAGAGGAGTCCTTGAAGCTAATTTCTGAAAATTTTTCAAACGTAAAATACTGATTTTGTTTTGTACTGGACTCCGAATTCTTGTTCAAGAATACGTTGCGAACGATTCTTTGTTCACTGATTTTCTGTTTTCTTTTTCATTTGGGTTTTGAACATTTCAGTTAGATTTTGTATAGAACGACATGCGTCGTCTAAAGTCATATTGTTTTATTTTATTAGAAAAAAAAAGTATTCTAGAATGGAGAAATTTTCAAATGAACGTTACCAACGAATGTATAATTACCTGTTTAGCTTTTATACATAAATACAACTTCTATCTTTCCGTTTCACAATGTATATAATTGTTTTGTCAATGTCACAGTTAAAAATTTATTACCTACAATGTGCTTTCCGAGTTCAAATCTACAACGGAAGGTTCAACACATGAAAAGTGACAGGTGCCACAAACTTGACGATATGATGGACATTTTTCTATTATTTCGTGTTAAGAGCAGTCAAATAACTGTTACAGTTTAAGCACGGAACATTTTAAAAATTAAAAATTTATTTTATTTATTTAATGGTTAAATTAGAGTTTTAAAGTTAATGTTGTTAATTATTATAAATTTATAGTTAAAAAATTTGAGTAACTTAATGTTTATCAGTAGTTAAGTTTCTGTATTAGAATTCTATTATTAGAATATGTCTATTAATTATCATTGAAAAAGAGGTTGGCATAAATAAGTTAAGGACGAGAGGATAATATGTACTTTATATTATTTTGCTACTTAAAGTAAGGAATATCCGATGGTCGAATTAAAAGCTTGTTGATAACCGAAAAGTTAATATTGTTAATATTACCAATTAATTACTGATCAGTAATTAATAACAATCGTTACCTCGATTATTATACAACTGATTTAATTTTGTCTTTTTGAATGAGCTGAGGAAAATGAACTGAAAATAAAGAAGTTCCAACTAACGAAAATAAACGTGTTGATAAGAAGAATTATCATGTATTATGGAAAGCACTGATAACGTTTTTTGTTGTAACGCTGCACTTAACAACTGACTTAAGTAGAATAAATAGAAAAGATAACAAACATCAACTGCCTATCAAATATTAGAAGCTTGCTGAAAATGAAGACAATTTAATAAATTTAATGTTATGTATATACTATCGAATAAAAATATCGTGGATTCTATATTGGTAAATTTATAATTATGAACATATAAATTTTTTCTGAATAGCTGTGATAATGTTAGTAGCTACACAGACTGACATTATTATCTTACACAGCGGTTTGTTTGCTGACAATAATAATTTCGACGATCTGTTTAATGATGAACCTCGTACATGTGACTTTTTATTTTTTACACACAAGATTTATCGGTTTATATAGATTCTTTTTTTTCCTCTTAACGGTAATGATTGAAAGGTTACATCGTGTACGTAACGTTTCTTTGCAACTACAAATACAATTAAATGTTAATTTATTTACATAAAAATGTGTATCTTCTTCGAAGTATACATATTGGAAACATGTAATCATAACGAAACAGTTTTGTAATTACTGTGAAAAGAAGGACACGTACCTACTTACAATGTGCACGATAATTACGATAAAGACCGAAGGAGAACTAATTAATTAATCTTTCAAGGTACACTTCCCCTTTTGGTTTAAAGTATCATGATTCAGAATTTTTGATATAATTCTTGTAATTCAAACTATTCTATTATTTTTGTATACTTTAGACATTAAAATTTATCAGAAGAAGTGAAAAAAGTAGACTAAATAAATATATACCTTCTTTTAAAATAATTATTGATATGATTTATAAAATATTTTTAAATATTTTTTCTAAAGATTTTCTAATTATAATTTTTTCTAAGGTTTTGCTATATATTACGTTTCTTCTACAAAGTTTTGAAATTTAAAAGTTAGAAGAAAACTCTATTTCTAACTAAATACATAGACATTAACGATCATGCTGGTTGATTTTTTTGCAATATAATCGTATGGTAAACTGATGACACGATAATATTTCTAAAACTATAATAGAATAGATACAAAACGATAAGAAACGTTTGCCTCTAACAAAAGATATTAATAATTTAAGAAAAAAATTGCAACTAACTAGAAAAAAATTCATGATTAGATGTGTCAAAGATATTAGAGACGCGATGATGAACACATGTGTGACTTTCACGACGTGCTACCACATTAAAGTGTAGAATATTAATTAGAACATTAAGTGGAATAAACCTAAGTCGCATATAAAACAGAATCAGAAGTAGATTAAATGGCTGAATATTTTAAAAAGAGAAGAATATCGTTGAGCACAGGTAGAACTTTTCTCTGTGAAATGTTAACTAATAAAAAGAAAAAAGTTTTATAATTATAGTTCTCTTTAAATAATTTTATTTATTTTTTAAATAATAATAAAAATTTTAAAAAATACAGTATTTTGTCTTTATATTTCTTGAATAGCTGTCAAAATCATTGTTACAGTTATTCTTTAAAAAATCACTCTTTTGAAATAGCAATTTCTATTTTCTTGAATTTTCAATATAATTCTAGAATGATTCTTTTAATTTTCTAGAAGAAAAATTTATATTGTTCGAATAACTATTTGGCTATTACAACATGAATTACTGTTTACATAAAGAATAGAATATCGCTAGCAAACATAAACTAATAAAACTCCAACTGTCGAGTTGTTAATGTCCCACTTGCTATTACATACATACGTGTGTTTATAAAGGCTGCTTTTAAAGAACTTCGTAATTACTGTCAACACTCGTTACAGTCGATAGATCCATGACCCCCATAACGGTAGCCAGCTAATTTTCAAACAAAGAACGATTCAAAATGTTTTATTTATCAAAATATGCGTAATTATATTAAGAATTAAAATTCTGTACTGCACCATAAACACGTTAAAACATTCTTACATACATTTTTTTTTCCTATAATATTGGCTTTTAGCTAAAGAGTTTTCTTATTTTCGTCAAGGCGATGACATTTAACTTTCTTTTGTTTCAACAAATGCATACAGACCTTAGAAATGTAAGTACATTTAAATGCATTTTATTGAAAATAAGGTGAAGGTTAATAAAGTTTGTTACGTGTTATAAAGGATTAAAAATGAGAGATAAGAAGCCTTATTTTCACTCAAATATATTCTCTGAAGAGTTTTTGAGAAATAAAGTGGGTAATTTTTTGAAGATGATAGAAGACAGAGAAAATAATGATCATTGTATTCTATAATAAAGTTTAAGCGAAAAAATTGCGATTTTAATTGCTTGCGCGTTACTTCTGATTGCAAGTGCGTTGACCTAAATCTGCAAAATTTATGTAATTTGAAAATTTAGTTAATTTAAATCTTCATTACAAGCTTAGATAAAAAAGTGTCCTCCATTACTTTTTTCACGATTCCGACAAATTGTAAATTTTTAAAACAATAAAGACATGGTATCTAGTAATTCTAGCTTCTCAAAAAAAAAAACTCTAGTTGTTTGGTCTGTTTTTAAAAAAGTTATTTTGGTTTAAAAAGTGTACCCTCAATTTAAAATTTTAAAATTACTTATTGAATACTTCCAGTAGGTTTTATTTAAAATTGCAGATGTGAAATAATGATAGGTTCTAATGTAAAAGTGCTCGTATCCATTTAGATTTCAAATGACTCAAAAAAATTTAAAAATAAACAAACATATCTATGGAAGGTTTGTTTAAATGAAACTTCAGTATTCGTTAACGATAGATTTGGAGGATTTTAATTAAAATCCATTTCAGAGGGATAGTAACCGTTGCGCACAGTAAATATACACTTGTGAGCGGGAGAACAGAATCAACCTTCAAAATAGACACAAATTCGTGTTACGATGGTATGTCAGTGTCGTGATTATTCCTCCGATACATGTGAAACAATTTGAATTCTCTTGATTTGATATTTCTATTTCAAATAATGGAATAGATGAACTACTTTTGCTCATTTTTCATTCATCAAGTGCTTAATAACATAATTTCTGTAATCATCGTGGAACGCGTTAAACCTATACAAGAGAATGTGTAAATAAATAGTGATTAAAATTAACATTTCTCAATGGAGTTATTAAATAAAAAACGAAGGAATTTTTATAACAATTCTGTTAAGAAAAATTTTACAACCGTAAATATGAGATTAAAACATGTTAAACTTAAAATAATAAACAGTTATTAAATAATTGCTGTATAATTAATATGATTCATATATGACTATATTAATAAATATATAAAAGCAAAACAAAGAAAAATGATTTCTTGTAACGATTTAGCAACAAATTTTTGTAATTCTAATTAGGCAAGAAATGTAATTACCTACCGAAAAAAATAAGATAAAGACTTTTTTTCAAGTCATAAAAGTTTGAATCTTTTTAATTTTCAAAAGTTTCCAATTTATAAAAAGAGTGAGACAATATTCAAGTCTAAAGTATTATGATAATTACAAAGGTGTAGTGAAAACTAATTTAAGATGTAGAAATTAACTCGGTGCCTTTGATATTATACCTTCTTAATTACTATTTTGAAATTGAATATTTTCTTGCGCTTCTGTGTATTTAAAAAGTATTCAATAATTAAAGTTATCATGTCTTCTTAAAAATAAATCTTCAATTAAAAAAAGAAAGAAAGGCTATACCTAATAGTTTGATTGTAATACAAGAGTTAATTAGTTAATTATTACTTTCGTATCAAATTTTTCCTCAAAAAATATGCAATCTGATATGGTTTAATTTCCTGTGATTTTACCGAAGGATTCACCAAAAAAATAAAAAAGGTAAAAGAGAAAAGAATAATTATTTCAAGTACAACGGTATATTTTTTTAACTCTCGGGTTCACACTATTATTATGGCATAAACAGGAAACAGTGTTCAGCAAAGTGAGACACCTCATTGTTCGTTATACTAGTGACAAACGAACAGGCATTTCTTTCATTGCACTCTAACAATGCGTATGATAATAATTGCAGTTGCTAAACGCATCACGCGTGTCACACTTATTAGAATTGTTCCACCTGCATTCAAATAATAAAATGATCCACTTTTACGTAATGTTGGATCAGTGAAATTATATCAACGGGACAGTTTATATTTAATATTTAACATTTTGGAAATGAATAGGCATAGCTACTATTTCAATACACTTAGAAATGAAAATCAACTTATCTTTTATATATTTTTGTGTACAGTTGCCCTTACACAGAGTATTGTAAATTAAATTAATTTTCATTTTTTAATAATCAATTCAATTTATTATTATAGTATAATACAAATTCCGCCTGAAAATGAATCGGATAGTTTATTAGAATCGGAATCAATAATGAATTAACAAAATTATACAACATTAGGTAATTATAAATATTCAGTATGGAGATTAAGATTTAGAAAGCAGTTCTTAAAACAGTGAAAGTACAGAGTAAGGGAAAAAACTCATCAATACTTATTTTGCATACGAATGTAATAATAGGAGAAGCTGTCGTTAGTCTACATTTCGCATCGTCTAATCGAACGGTGAATACAGCAATTAAACGTACGAACATGTCGGTACTTTCACCAAGAATCTTTACAATTGAACCTTTTGATATCAAATAAATTTTACTACAACAATTTCACAACCAGTTCCCAAATATTTCACGCGTGATCAGTGATTTCCCATTACCAGAAATTGTAAAATAAAAGAGAAGGAAATGGGATAGTCCTTAAAATATTTCTATTATTGTAAATAGATAAAATAATAGTCAAGAGGAATTTATTATAAGGTTCATTTACCTTCACTTGAAATGAAAATTAATTAAGAAAAAGGAAATGATGTTACTTTTTCTTGTGATGTTGAGATTATAAACATTTTTACTGTTTTTGATATCACGTAAAATATCATTTGTTTTATAGGTATTAATTAATTAAATTTTGCCAAAAAAATGTTAACACACTACTTCATAAAGAATACATTTTTAAATAAAACTGGATGTACCAATAGTCTTTTGACACATTGTGAATGTGTTCCCATAATTACTTGTCAAAATTAGTATTTTAACTCAAAATTCTAGTTCAATATTTGTCTAACTTGCACATACAAGGTGTCTTATTTTAATTTTTTTCATTTTTCAAAAATTATTTTAAACAAAATTTATTAGGTAAACAAATTAATTCGGTGCTTTTAATATTACTCTTTTATTTACTATTTTAAATTTGAATATTTTTCCACGCTTCTGTATGTTTGAAAAACGGCGCAAAAATATGATTAACAATATAAATTCCTTCAATAATTAAGAGTTACCATGACTTTCTGCCAAAAAAAGTCACAGAACTAATTTATACGCCTAACCTAATATTTTGCATTAAAATCAATTAGTTCTCAAAGTATTAGGATATAATGTTTAAAAAAAGTCAGCAATTCGGGACATATTTCAAATTTCAAAATAAAGGCCAAAACATCAAACATTATAATTTTAGATTTTCTTATACCACCTTATATTATTCAACTTTTATCATGCTTTTCGGTACTGTTTATCAGCTAACTGGCACGGTAACCTTCACCTATAACATAACTCGTCGGCATGAGAATGATGCTTTATCATAGACGTCGCTGCGTCCAGGTTCCCCTGCTCTAAAACACTAGTTCGCGATGAAAAACAGTGATCAACCGCGTTAGTTTTATCATCGTTGCAATTGCGATCGTAGACCACGTTATCGTCGGTTTAATAAAATTTCAAGTTTCAATTCGTTTTCACCGGTCATGTGACAGTTCTTGCATTTGGTGGTTCGATCTGATTTCACATTGAATATTCTCGCTTATCTAGCATTATGAAGTTGAGATAACTGTTGTACAAAGTTACGTAAAGTTAATGTTTCATGCAACTGACGTTCCTCTAATTAGGTGCATCGTTTGAAGAATATTGTTTTTAAAATTGTGTTGAGTGAAATGAAGAATTTTATGGTAATTTTATGTGTTTCGTATATTAAATTATTTTATCCTTAGATATCATATCGCTGAGAAAGTTGCAATTAACATTTTTTGTCATTTATAATTTCTAAATTTTTAACTATTTTTCTAATGCATCAGGGTTTTACATTAAACAATTTAAGCGTTAAATTTTAGACGAAGTATCTTTATTGATCAGGATCACGATTGATTTTACATTTTTTAAAAGTATAAACTTCCAACAATGTTGCGACATACATATATCGCTTTTTTTATTGGGGTATAACGTAGATAAGTGAACTTTCAACGCGTTTTTTTTAACGCCTAATTAGAATAAAAAGAAACTAATCAGACGATCGGTATGAAATATTAATACGATATTCTACGTACCAGTAACCCTTGCAAATACCAGACTTACATTCCTATGTGGAAAATTTTGAAATTCTCAAGAAAAATGAAAGGTTTTGGTAGGTAAACTTAAACTTTGAAAGAAAACCTTTTTGATAAATTTTAATTAATATTATATAACCAATTCTAATACCTGCAATAGCAGTACTTTGTACCGATTAAAAAATTAATTGACTCTTTTTAGTATTACATCAATCTATGAATTAAAATCATTTCTACCATCTAAATATGTATCATTTCAACAGTGCCATTTTCATCTTCAGTTACTATTTGCTATGAAGTATCATTAATCAGATCTGCTTTTATATTTAATTATCAATTTAAGCCTTGGACACAATCGGGCAACCAAGTATCCAAACTCTAATATTTAAAATTTTTTGCATAAATTAATTGGCATAAAAATATTGAAAGATCAAAGCATTGAGTAGTTACCTCTGCACTCAATTGTCCTCACAAGGACAAAAACTTTCATTGCGTTCATGCTATTAATTAGAATAATTCGGACCAGAAGGTTTAAGGGGATAAATCAGGTCCCTTTGAAATTTTAAAATTTTGATGATCTGGAATTTCAGGATTCTGGAATTCTAATGTTTTGAATTTTTGAATCTCAGGATTGTTTACTTTTAAAATTCTGAAATTTAGAAGATTTGTAAATTTAGAATTCTGAAAAATAGGAAATCAGAAATTTCAAAATTTTAGAGCTTTTGAACCTTAGAATTTTGGAATTTCGGAATTCTGAGATTTTGAAGATTTGTATTAGGTGTAGAAATTAATTCAGTACTTTTAGCTTTTACCCCTTTTTAATCACTATTTTACATTTGAATATTTTCCCGCGCTTCCATGAAGTGACGCGAAAATATGATAACGATAACAATTATTTTAATAATTGAAATTACTATATAATTTTTTTAAAATAAATCTTTAATTAAAATAAAGAAAAAGTAGAGAATTTATTTTTACACCTAATAAATTTGAAATTCTGAAATGTAGGTATTTTGAAACTTTTGAATCTTCGAATTTTCAAATGGTAAAGGTTCACATTTTTGGTAAAGAGCCGGTCCAGATTTTTAAGAGGACAGGTGCACACTACCTAGTTACGTCAATGATGCTGTTTCGAAATAAAACAATTCTTTTACAAATACATCCAACTGCATTTACATTCTAGCATTGTTTATCACAAATTCGGGCATCATCGTATTCTACATTGCCCATGTACTGCTAATGAAACTGTGACGATGCAGATCTGAAAATAGCGACGGGTCAGTTCTTACTGCACGAGCACACAATAAAGGTTTATTAAGCATACTAATATGCTGTGTATGCTTTCCCTGTTAATCGTTTCGTCTTGGTATAAGAGAAGAGACTCGGACGACATGTATAGTACCCGTTTAATGCATCAAGTAATCTGCTACGTTCTCCTAATCTGCCACACTTTAAGCTTGGAGAACGAATTTAGCTTCTCATAACTGAGAAAAGTTTATTTTTGAAATCATCTTTTGTTTATTACCAAAAATTTAATTCAAATTCAATTCAAAGTCATTACTTCAATTTGTTGATTAGCATAGAATTAGACCCAAGATTTATCAATTTATTTTTTACAATTAGACTGGTATGTAATTCAATTAGACATAATATAATTCAAACTTTTTTTAAATAATGAATTACTTATAAAATGTTTGATTCACTTTAAGCTTCAAAGACAGATTCAATCTTAAGATTTTTAAATTTGTTACATATACATTTACTTTTGCAATTCCTTAAGAGAATAAAAATATTAAGACGTAATGACTATTATAATTTGTTATATTTTGAAAGCTGAAGAGTTATATTTTTCACCTTTACATCTGCAAAGAATTTCTAAACAGAAATCTTTGTTAAATAAAAATAACTAGTAAGGTTTTATAAAGACATTAAATTTGATTCTTTAGTTCACAGAACTCTACTGTTTTTATACAGTTCTTATTTTTAATTATTTTTTAAAGTCATTTCATAAATTTAGTTTGTAAATTATTACACGAAAAATTTCAAATTTCATCCAGAAGTACCTGTTTGTCGTAAATGCCCATAAATATCAATGAAACACCCTGACGGTACTAAAAGATAAACATTATCTATTTACCAACAATAAGATATCAAATTAAAATGTTTATTTTATGATGATAATAAGATTATCAATCTGCTTGATCTTTAAGATTATCAATTTAAGAACTATTTAATCCCATGTTCACTTTCAAATGACAATTTACGATCAAATGTAATATATGTACATACATATCTGATACCAAAATAGATTGAAAATTTAAAAAAAGAATAAATTAAAATGCTCCTTTCATATTAATAGTAAAAAGGTGCATGCAGGTACATGCAGAAATTGATGCAACTACTTAGTTGGCCAGTTTTCTAGTGCGAAAAATATGAAATGCGGCCATAGGATGTGTAGTATCCTATCTGCATACTATTTCCTATTTCGTCTTCACTAATCTAGATCACATAAACAAAACACCTAGTATTGAATATATGTATAATGCCGCTGGCTACCAAAGCAGTAATTATTTCTTAGAGAAACTGATTTCTGAAAGCCTGTACACTTTCGATTTGACAAGACCAGTTAGAATAATAGTTTCCTTAGTAATTCATATACTTCCTAAAAATAACAATTGGTTTACTGTGTATTCAAATTGATTTTTAATCATGTATTTAATAAAGAAAGGTCTTTTATATAAAAAGATTCTTTCGAAATCACTTTGAATAGAATATAATTTTTGTTGTTGTAGGTAATAAGTAATCCTCTGTATACACTCACGGTCAAATTAGGCTTCCCTAGTGATATACAGGAAATAAAAATTCCGAAAATACCATATTAATATTAAAAGTAATTTAGAAAAGAAAAATAATATAAATTGTAATTATTAAATATTATATAATTAAGAAATATGAATAATAAATAAATATCAATTCAAACTGTTTTTACGTATGCATTTATACACAAGTGGTGAGAGGCAACAGCCTAATTTATTTGAATCTACGAAAGACATATTTTAAATTTTCATTATACACTCACATAAAAAAGTTGAAAAATTGCCCTTCACTATTTTTTTCACGATTTCAACAAATTGTAATTTTGTAAAACGACAAAAGCACATATCTTATGTTAGTAAATTAATTTGTATAGTTTCTCGAGAAACCTCAAGTCATTTGGTCTAATTTTAAACGAGGTACTTTGTTTTAAATGGTGTACAAATACTTTTTGGACCCACTGTACATATTTAGATTCTGCTAGATTGTTATTTTTCCTGGGAATACCTACTGGGAAGGACAAGAACCCGGAACATTATCTTTTTCCCTGGGAAAACCTAATTTAATCGTGAATATGCTACCTTGAACAGAATATATTTCTCGTAATAATCTATATAATCCTGTGTGCTATGTTTTTTTTAACAGATAATCCAACATAGAAAACTGTCAAATTACTATACTCGTTATATAGTAACAAACAATATTAATTTTTTATAATAAATAGTATAGATAATTCTGGATGCTATATTATCCTAATATATAATCCAAATGAATTCTAATGTATAATTATACAAAACTGCCATTATACTATATTTATTATACTTTCATTTTTCTTTTTCAATATTATTTCAAAATTTGATCGAAAAATACTTTCTTTCAACTCCCCTCTTTGAACATCACTGGTGGCTCATGTAACACTCATCGTCAGTCAATGTATCAAATAAAAGGATTGATTCCTGGGTCTAAAAGGAGCCATTCGAGCAAGCATTAAATTCGTCCATACTCGGACGAATGTGAATTACGGAAGCGCACTATTTTTCCAAATACCTTCAGTAGCTTCAGATTACAGCTTATCAGATTGCATTATCATTACGTGTATTTTTTCTCATGCCGAAGGTTTCTGATTTTACTATAAGCCACAAACAGAAATCATTATTTTGTGAATGGATACTCACCGTTACGTTTCGACTTGAATTTCAAACAACCATCAGCACGAGTCCTTGTATACATACAAAAGCTACAAGACTTACCTTCACGTTTCAATTGGAAAGTATTCATTAGATTTTGTCTCATGTTTATCGATAAAACCGAGAAGGAATTACAATTTTCAATATTGACATCGATACTTCAGATCCAACTTATCGATCGTTTAATTAATCTTTCATTTAATTTTCGTCCATTAAAATTCAATGGATCAACCCACCTAATTAATGAAGTGTAACCTGATCAAAACATTTTAATTGCATTTGTTATTGACGATTATACAGTCACTACACCAAGCGAGCCGAGTTCAATTAATTGATTAAATTAATTTCGTTGATTCGATACTATCGATGGAAAGTATAAATAATTTCTGTTTTAATTATAGATACAAATAAAAACTTATACATGATAACAATAGGAATATCTTGTATTGTGACGTTTTAGCATTTTTCAAAATGTATTTTAGTATGTGAAAGTGATTTGTTTGGTATCAAATTGTTCGAGTATCATCAATTGGTATCCAGTATCGGTCCGATTACTGCGGTTTATGTTATTTGCAGCCGGAAATTAATGTCAACAGAAACTGCAATAATTATTGAAAACATTTATGGACAGGAAAATTCCAACACCATTAGCATCAATTTCACCCACTCGTCGCCTCAGTCGTTATACAGAGCTTAATTAATTGTTCTGGCAATCGGTTGTGGGGATTTCTTAAACGAACGCTGCTCGAATGTTTGAATTCAATTGAAGAAATTGCCGTTTACGCCTGATTTCACCAATCAGGAGTGTGTCTATTTCTGTACGTTTAATTTAATGCATACGATGCATAATTATGCACAACATGTCCAATTCAATCCGCGAAATAACACAAAAGTATAATGTCAATTTTTAATTTATAAACATTTCTCAATTTTCAATTTGATGGAATAAAAATTAACACATTCGGCGCCACGACAATCACCCATCAATTAATTAAAAAGATTCAAATAATAATGTTGTTCTAAATACCATTAAGATCACATTAATAATTTATAATAACCAACCAGAGTCTTTAAAAATGAATTTGACAATCACTTGTTAAAAATATTCTACACTGATAGGGTTAAATAAAATGAAAAATAATCAATTCTAAACACAGTAAATACCAATCAATTTTTTCTTGATCTTTCGGCTACGCTACTGACCATGGGAAATACAAAGGAAGAACAAAGAAACATTTAAATAGGAACGGAAATAATTGTGTCGTTGCTCTACGATCCATGAAAAAGGAATCAGAGAAAGTACAAGTGGAATTTCGCAGGCCAGAAACGAACGTTACAGGCTATTCACTTTTCGCGGTACAACAGTTTTTTCTCCCGGCTGAGTTGTTCTACTGACCTGACCGTTTCGATTGCACTCGGTTGAAATTGGTGCATCCCCTCAGTTTTCCTCCTGAGGATTTACTAATACATTTTATTACATATAACGCTGCAACTGGATTACGTATTAGAAAGTGGATTAAGTTTAATAAAATTACTATATAACGTTATCTGGAACGAAACCATATAATCAATGCAATTTTCCGCGAAACATTACGAATGCATCGAAAACGAGTTTTAACTGTAAAAATCGCTATTTAATTTTAATTTATTTCAATTTCAATTGAATAATCAAATATTCAATTTTTGTTTTAATTTTGACCATACAAAATTGTATGATTAGGTAATCCTCAAACAGTAAACTGGGTCAATCGTAACCCAAATTAAAATTAAGCACTAAAATTTCCGAACGGAAGATTTTCATACTTTCGAAATATAATATCTAAAAAAAATAGTATAAAATTTAGAAAAGGAAAAGGAATTATACGTTATATCAGCAAAGACTTTGTTTCTCTGTTCGAGGATTAAAATGTCTAAATGTATGAACAGAAATAATTGTAAATACGTGCATAATTGTACTCAAGGTACATTGTACTCAAATTAGTTTCGGTTTAAATCTATTTAATTTCATAAAATTTTTAATATTTTCCGAGTTTTTCGAATTTTCTGAATATATTTTTAATATATGAATATTCGCATACCTTCAAATATTCATCTCTATTTTTTTTACAGGGATGTTATACAAAGAGATCGAAACGGATGGAATCTGGCACAAAAACAGTGTGGCTTAAATAAGTAAGTCTAATATTATTATCGAAACTTATTTTACATAATTTTTTAAATATTCTTTATAATTTTTACAATTACATCAATACGCTTCATAACAGAAAGTACAAAATGGCGATACGTTTTCACAATTCCATAGAATTTACGTCTAGATAATTGAATGAATAATTAATTGCATTACACACACTTTAAAATAATACAAGCACACACATGCTCGTAAAACAAGTTTCATCGAACAAATGCTCACTAGTCTTTGTATGTGTATGTACATATTGGATCGTGCAGTTCCAATGCACGTAGCATATGTATTTTTTTCCTTCGAAAGTTCAATGTTAGATCGGGTTCCGGCTCATTGTGATCATGTTAAACCTCACTGAACACGAGAAAATAGCGATCATTATCACCACACCTTCCGCGGGAAATCGTTTACATGTTGCGAACATCGAACTATAACGAAATTCACTCGTACATTGGTTAGAATTTCGGAACTCGAATAAAATAACGTTACCAGGTTCACATTTTAACTTAATAACTCGTTAAATAAAATCATTTTTAACAAAAAACACTTATTTTTCTTGTGTTAAATTGTCGAGTTCAAATTTACGCGCCTGCCAATCAAAAATCAGAAATTTAGTAATGACCAATAGCGCACCGTGGCTAGCATTTTTATTGTATACGGGTTACCGACGCTAATCACTGTCACGCGCATTATTCGTAAGGATAAGTTTATTTTTTAATTCCAAGACGAAAGCTCTATTGTTTTCTGCGTTTAAAAAAATGACAGACGGCGTAAAAAAGCGACATGAAAGGAGATACAGTTGCGGACGAACTGTCAGGTGAGTGTTATATTTTTACCGGCAAGGGCAATAAACGTCTTAACCTATTTTGTCGCGTGTGTTGTCAAAGGATAATTCAAACTGACAGCGTCCACTGTGGTTCTTCCAAACGACTCTACGTTACTCTTTATTCTATAAGTAGTTACAATGTTTCTTCGCTTCTGACAACGATCAGTGTCTTTCGTTTTATTTATTATTTGATAAAAGTAAATTAGTCACATTTTCTTGGTGTATTACCTTCATGCTTTACGAAATACCGATCGCCCTGCATGTTCTCATTTATTGTGTGTGAATATCTATAGTGTGATGTGATATAAAGCATCATAATTTAAAACAATTTCTGAAGTTAACTAAGTGTTAGTATAAATAATAGTAAACAACTGTTCAATGTGCTACAAAATTGATAAAATAAGAGAACAGATGAATAAAATAGTTTTATCAAATATTAAACAGTGCTTCTCAACTAACATTATTCTAGTCTCTCAGTGACATTTTGAAATACTTACGAATAATTAAAAAATCAACAAATTTTGTATTATAACCTTTAAATTTATATTTTTTATTCACAGCACTATTTGGTATATCCATAGTAATTATTTATATTATTAATAATGACGTTATCTCTGATTCTAGCGAATCTTACCGTAATGCATTGCAAGCATTCATAGATCGTAGACGACTTTCTGACGACGTGGATACGGATACACCGGCTAGTCCAGATAAAAAGAGAGCCGATCTTTTGACTAAAAATAATAACAATAAATGTGACAATGAAAGAAAATGCCATGAACTAAAATCGTGTGTTCTGGGTGTGCCACGTATACCACCGTCGGAAATCTTTGAAATCGGATGGGTAGCCGGGACGGAAGATCGATATCTGGAGTTAATTTTTGCCGAGTGGCAAAATACTAGAGTTTCTTTGAAAAGACACTCACACCCAGAATGTAAAGATGCTGTAAAAGCAGATTTAGATGTACTTTCGTAAGTATCAATTTCGCATAAAAAATTGTCATTGATCTCTTAATATATGTATGTATAATAAAATAATCGAAATGATAAACATAGGTGAAAAATATGACCCCTCAAATGTTTATTTATGATTATTATAGTATTAAATTAAAATTATTTCTTTTACCTTGTATTTTGCCTAAAATTCATATACATATGTAGATACTATAATTAATGAAATGCTAGAGCTGGAAAAAAAGGACAATTTTTATTACAATTAACGATTAGCAATTGAAGTTCTTAATTATCATTAAATAATAATTATCCTTTAATTTATAAAAGGATATAATCTTTTTATAATGTAGATTTGGTGTCATTTTCTGTTTATTAGAGAAATTCGACACCCAAACGTGCTGTTATTGATGGCTAGTACCTTCACAGACGACCATGGTTTAGTCTCAATTTTAGAATCCATTGATTGCACCCTTTATCATTATATACACGATCAGGGTGAACGTATATCCATACAAGGTATCGCGAGATGCGGAGGAAGACTGTCGGATGCATTGAGACATTCTCACATGCGCGGATACGTGCATACTGCCATCAACTCGCATTGCGTCTATTTGGCTTCTAATGGTATGGTCAAACTCGGTGGATGGGAATTGGCGATGCACGTCAATAACGTAAGTATTTTCATTTTTAACGTGTTGGTTGCCACTATGAAGTTGTTGATAATTTTATTAAATATACCCGAGTAGACCATTGATATTTTTATTTTCAATAGATTTTATGTATTATTTTTACACTATTTTAACATATCTATTATTTGTAATTTCAAATATTAAATATTTTATAATATTAGGATTTAAAAACTTCGGAATTTTGAAATTGTATTTTAATACCTTAGAGTCTTAGAATTTTTAAATTTTTAAATTGCGAGTAGTCAATCCACATGGGGGTCTCTACCTAGTTACGCTAATGGGAAAGTCATAGAATTCCTAATGATATGGCTGGTAGATTCTTATGAAAATTGAAGCATTATCCGCATGTAAGTAGTTTATATGGCAACCAATGTACTTACTAGTACAATAGAATCCAGCTTAACATAGAAATACTTTATTATTACGCGTATTTTAATCTTTTTTGTTGTGTATAATACACAAAAGTTCTTCAAATGCAGACTATTTGATACTTTTAATGCAAACTCATATTACGTTATTGTATTTATAACCTTTTTCCTGTTTGTTATTAACGTGAGTCAAACGCGCGATATCGCGTGATCTGACCTTCTGCAGAAGACAATTTTATGACCATTTGAAGTCAAGCTAACGAAGAATAATTCTGTATCTCTTATAAGTTAGGCTGAGAAGCTTTTCATCTCACCCTCATAGTAGCATTAGGATGCAAAATGTGCCGCTTAAAAATATTTATCTATCTTTTTTTCCAACGTTGCCATAAAAGAATTTATTTTGTAAAACATTTTAGACTTTAGCATATTTTTAATTTATACCAATTAAATTAAATTCCCTAAAATTTCTGAAGTCGGAAACAAAATATTGCAAAAAGTATTCTACTTTAAATAAAATGAAGAAAGAAAGCATTTTATAATCCTTTGAAATTTAATTTTTACTACCATCACATTATCGTGAATAATTTTTGTAAAATCTCTAAAAATAGATATCAGTTTTCTATTTTTTAAATACGAGATCCTCTAATTATTTCGAGAGTGACGTGTACAAAATGGCTAAAATTGAGTGGATGTAACGTCACATCCGTTTTTCCATTGTTACACCCAACGGTATTTCGCAGCAGGAAACAATCTTGTTTCTCACAAAAATGTCTATTTTTGAATGAAATCACTGTATCGTGACGTTCTTAATTACATTCAACGGCTGAAGCATGAAAATTCACGTAAATCATATGCAATTCACAATTCAGAGTGTCATGTATATTTTAGGAAATGAATCAACTAAATAAATCACTAAACCAATGTCAATCATTATTCTGTTTAAATCATATCAATTAAACGTCACTATATTAAAACTTCTTACTCATAATCATCTGAAATTTATTTACTTAAATTTTTATATTTTCTAATGAAAATTAAATTCTTACATCAGTTTTATAAATAAAGTAGAAATAAAGCCCAAACATCTTGGATTAATAGTTATTTTAAGATTTTTATGGTTCACTAAGCTATCTAAACATTTCATTAAACTCTATTTAACAATTTTTTTTTTTTTGTTTTTTTGTTTTTTTGTTATTAATAATGCAATGTTTGAATGCTTTACTCATCACTTGAAGTGGATATATATAACATATTACAATTTTATAACTTAATAGTAACTATAAGTTGGGAGAATTAAGTAGTTCTCTTAATTGTACGACACTTAAACTTTATTATTTAGATAGAATCGTAAGGTTTGATTTCTGGCATTCAATTAATAACAATTGATATGATAAAGACAATTAACAGGATTCCAATCGATATGATTTTAATTAGTTCGCATAGTATGCATGAAAGTAGAGAAGAAATCGTGGTCGTAAATTTGATGAAGTAATACAGAAAGTAACAGGGATTAGAATGGTGAGAATTAATTTATCTAACGTCTGCGTGCTGGATTGAGAATAATTTCTGTGAACTTTACACGATTCTCAATAGGCTTTCATGCCCAATTCTCACGATTTTTCTTTTACAAGCGCGATTAATATTGCAATATGCCAGGAAGTGAAATAGCAAAAATGTTTTTCATATTTTAATCCTAGGAATTCCAATAGAGGGTCAAACAAATATCTACATGATTTTGAATTTTAATTTCCGTTTTTTTGTTATTTTTTTATGAAATAACTTCTTCCTGTTACATATTATTAATCTAGTTTTGGAACAGACCTCAAACTTGTAAAGACAAATTTTGATTTTATTTGTAATCAAGGACTTAATGAAGACTGATAGTAAAGAACTATTAAATCTTTTTTAATGAATAAAACATCTAACGTTAAATTATAATCTTACGTCAAGTATTTACAGTTAGTATTTTTGTGTTATAATATTTATTTTTTATATCTTATTACTTGATGTTTAAGCAGAAGAAATAATATTTTTAACCATGATAAACATGTATATATGTAGATTCTTGTGTTTCATTGGTTATTTAGTATCTTTTATTCATTTGCGAATAGTATTAATGATTTTATAACTAAAAAACAGCAATATTCATTATGATCTATGCAGCCAAAACCAGAAAGGGAATACGAAGAACGTTTAAGAACCGAGATCTTCCGTTGGCAAGCACCGGAACTTTTTCGTAGTTACGAGGCACGAAAGGAGAGCGATGTCTACGGACTAACTTTGTTAATTTGGGAAATGTGTACAAGTAAGTTCTCAGTTAATTAATTTACCAGTATAACCCCCATTTGGAGATTTTAATACTTACGTAGAAAAGTAAAAAATAACTAAACAACCATCATATTAGACCGTTGTATACCTATTAAATGGCTGATTTCGAAATATGGAATGTTTGACGTGATATAATAACATAATATTATCACAAAACAGCACTTATGTATATCAATTCCAACCTTTTTTGTTGGCTACAAAAAGGTGAACTACAATTGAGGTAATTTACAAGCCGAGCTGAACTCGCTTCGATTGTTCGAGCCGAGCCGAGCGCTTGAATTTGCCGAATTACTCGAAATCGACGAACTGTTTAAAACAAAACCGAGCGTCGTAAAACTTCGATTTACTTGAAGATGAATTTTCAGCTCGAATATTCGAGTAGCTCGCTTTTTTTTCAAGCAGTTCGTCGATTTCGACCGATCATTGTTTGACTCGAAATTTGAGTATTCGAATAAATTGAGCACTCGCACACCTCTGACAATGAGAGCCAACTCTTTTTCGGCCATTTCCGATCGAACCGAAAGTGGCAAAAAAAAATAAAAATTCAGCAATTCGTTAAAATTTTAACCCACTAAACACAATCGCGCAAGAATTTTTTCGATAACTCTTATCGTTTGGCCTGTACAAAAGTGACAGAAAGTCTAAATGCTATAGCCTCCTTCTCAAGATTTTCAATCTTACGATTAGATACGGATTGGCTAATAACTACATAAATTAATACTCTTAATACAAAATGATTGATTTGCAGTTGGAGTAAACATGTGAAATCTAACGCAATTTCATGACACAAAAGTATTTTAACATAACACCTATGATATAGGGTAAGGTTGCTCAAGTCGTACCTTTTGAATTTTGAATTTTGAATTTTGAATTTTGAATTTTGAATTTAATAGGACGACAACTGCGCATGTAACGGCATCTGAATATACAAAAAAGGAAGTAGTCAACAGAAAAGTACCTACATTAAAAATTTAAAAAAAGAAAACTTACACTGATTGGTTTTATAATATTTGTGCAGAAGACCGGAAGGAAAATATGATTCGAAGCTTGAAATCTAAAGCATGGATGCATGATCTATGCGCTGGAGTTAACAAAAGAATAAAGAAATATGTGTGTGATGTTTGTACTAACTGAATATGTAACATATGTAAACAGATTAATAAAGAAATAGGCTTTAATTATTATTGTTGCTTATAGGTGGTACCACTTTGGAAACCAGTTTCCTACGTGGTACCGCTATGAGATTTTAAATATTTAGTTTATTTTATGTAAAATCATACAGAGTTTTGAATTTTATTACAAATAAATAATATCAATGTTCACACAAGTTTTGAATAACACATATAATTCTTATTTATTTGATGAATCCTAACATTTATACGAGTTTTTGCTTAAGGGGTACGACTTGAGCAACCTTATCCTATATCAATTTGAAGCTTACAGTTTATTGAAAAGTATCATAGAAAATCTTCGTTAATATTTTTTAATGCAAAACTGTTTAATTGTTAACGAATCGTCTTGTCGATTACTGTATGATATTCAGTAAAACGATTAAGTTCTTTGACAACCCATCAGTTTGTGTTAAGAATATCGATAAATACTTTATGCAGTTATTTTCTTCCAATCTTAAGCTTGAAATTGACGTACCATTAAGTGCTAATCTACGATAGTTTTATATGTTATCAAATCGTGTCAAATCTTTGATGTCTCGAAACCAACCATTTAATAACACCGTTAATTATCTATTGAATGTAAGAGTTATAGAAGAATGAAAATTAATAAAATATGAAATTAATCAACCTAGCTTCTCACAATTAAAGACTGGATAATCGTTCATTTCCTTTATCCCGAATTTCCCGTTGCTTTCTCTGGATTCTCACGGAACATCCCGAGCGAGACTCGGAGCACACGCGGAATCCCGAGCTCGTTGATTTCTTCATGTGAACCTGAACGATTACGAGATTTGCTTTTAAACTAGAAATCCTGTCGAGAATCGCGGTGTAAAAATAAAACTGGTTTTCGAACCGATAAGGAAACGGAATCACGTTCACTGAGATTTCAATATATGCAATGGTTCGTCGATTTCGCTGCTTATGTTTTTATCAGCCATTCTGAAACAAAATTTCGCAACTGCTTCGATTATGTAAATACGCGAAAATGTTTCCCAGAGATACTTGGGGATCCATGATTTCCGTTTCCTGAATAATTACTAGATTAGCGCAAAAATAATTATAGCTCTTGTTAAAAATTAATGATGCTTATTTTGCAAATAAAGTTTTATTGAACGACAAAACGTTTATGTGATACTAATGTTTTTTCGCTAATTTATGTTAATTATTGAGTTCTCTTTAGGTCATATTTACAGCGATAATAATAATTATTAGTAACGGTTCGTTAACGTTATTCTTTATAAATAGGGCTGGGGGCTTTGTTTTATAAGTTATATTTGATTTTATTGTCTTGCATAGCAATTTTGGTTTACTGTCTGTTCTTGTTTTTTTAATATTACAGGTACCAAACCAGTCAAAATCGCTGGCTTCAAGTTTCTTATTTTAAATTCTAAATTTTATCGAGATGTTTTTGTTGAAATGGATGTATTATGTTTCACCCTTCATTTAATTTTCAACTTAAAAATAAATGTACATCAAACGTCGGTAATTCTATTATTAAGACTGTCAAATTATCACTTTGTCATAGAATTACTTTCTTATCCATAATGAAATTCATTTCTTTTCTTCTTATTCGATAGATTTACATTTCATGGTTTTCATAATTATCATTTTCCAAACTATAATTCATACATTTTGCTATAAATATAACATGGGCTATTAAAAATTTTTTTAAGCATATTATTTCACAATGTGATGGGTTATTTTTCAAATTATACTTTTAATTTGCTCTCTTACATTATTCATAGAACACTAATGCTGTACGTAGTTTGCGTACTCTTTTTTTAAATTAATTATTCGATTGTAAAAAAAACTGAGGCGACGAGTACACGACAGTAAATGTATAAGTATCCCTTAGAAAAAAAGAAGAACTAAAATTTTTGTACATAATTGTTGAATTCTCTCCTTGCATCATGTAATTTTCCATGTAATAAAAATTAATTGTTAAACGATGTACAGTGCGTGTACCATGGAGCGGCTACAGCAAAGCAGACGTGGAAAGACAGTACATGCATTGGAAACGAGGTGTTATTATGGATTTATACGATTTCCCACCATTGTTGAATAACTTATTGGAAGCTGGACTGCAATTGGATGTGAATAAAAGAACGTTAGATATGAACAGAATGCGCAGATTTCTTCAAAGGCTAGAGGTTCGTTTCTTCATTAATTAAGATGTTTAATTCTACAAATAACTCGATACTCCAAACAGTATTATTGTTTAAAGTTATTCTTCTCTTTATTTTCTAAATTTATTGGTTCAAATTACATTTGAAGCATCAGTCACCGATGATGTCCACAATTACATATGTTGAAAATTTGCTTGATACATGAAATAACACGGTATTAAATTCTTGTATTTATTAAACTATTGTAATTATAAATTTTCTTCTACATAAGGTTGAAAATTTTACTTTGATCTTTTAAACCCCCAATTTTTTTCTTTACTTTACTTTTTTTATTTGTATTTTTATTATATTGAAAATAACATTCGAAGTGGATTGTGATCGAATATAGAAGTGCAAAGATCGATTAAAACTCTGTTTCTATTCAAAATTAAGAAAGAAAATCATACAACGAAGGTTAACATTAGCATAAATACTTTGTAATTTAAATTTGCTGTATCGGAGAAGTTAACAAAAAATTGTTGTTTGCAAAATTTTCAATATTTACAGATGCAATACGAAGACGAAGAACCAGTTTACATTGATCAATATGCAAACAACAACAACGATACTGGAAAGACGTTTGTTTCACCAGTGACACGATCTCCGATGGGAATCTCCAAATCCAAGAGTTTAAAATTAACCAAAAGTGCTTCAACGAGACAGTTATATCCTGCGAGAAATCCAGAATCACCAACGAGCCAATATTTATATTCAAAAAGATCAAAACAAACCCGAAGCGTCAAAGCCACAGCGCACATCGAACAAGTAAACTTCTTTGGCGAGGATGTTAAACGCACCACTAACGATAACATCCAGAAAAACATGAATGTGCTTTGCAGTGCGCATAATAATTATAAGAAACATAACTATCCGAATTGTAACATAGAAACGTTGGATGTTGCTCCGAACGATGAAGTTAACTCGGAGGCTTCCCAACCATGGAACAGCACTTACAAGAAGGTAAAAGGACCGCAAGAAACCATGGAATCCAGAAGTACATCGGTGTACTCGTCACCGTTGTTGGATTCCACCGATGACGAGTCCTTCAAAGATGCCAGAACCAATTTGAAACAGCTGAAGAAAGTATTGGCGAACAGAAGGGAACATTTCTTCTACGGCAGCGATTCGTCGCACACCTCAGCGGATACGAGTACGTACTGGAATTTATTTTTTAGCAGACCGTCTGACAGACAGATTTATACATCAAATTATTTTACTTATAAATAATGTACATTCTTGCTCAAAAGTCGAGACACATCCCTTTTGAAAATCTATAACCCTAGAATAACGAAGCCTCTATTCATTCTTAATGCTTTTTCTAATAATACCTTTATTAAGCCAATATCACTTTATTTATTACAAATCTTTAAGGCATAAGCGACAATAAATCATTTTTTGTACATTTTCTGAATGATAGAAATAATATATTTTTAATATTTTCTAAATGATCGCTAGAACGAGCCCTCCTCTTATAGAGTATTTCATTTTGAATTGAAAATTGCAAGTATCGTTGAGACTGTTAACTATACCGAAACACATTTTAAATAATTTTTTTAAATAAAAATTAAATAGTTTCTAGTGGAGCATAATTTAATATATAATAATAGTTTTTTAATAGATGAAAGCATTGAGAACTAGTAAAGGTCAAAGTTTTTGTTTTTATTTATTTTTTTTTTTTCTAGAAAGATATATGTATATTTTTTAGTACGTTAGTTAATGCAGATTTTCACTTTCTATAAAATATATTAAGGTATTTATATCAAGAAGTGAATAATTTAGCAGACATTTTAATTTCATTATTGCACAGTGATACAAGTATGTACAGTATCGAACAAAGTAGACGTCTTTAGGGAGAATGGCGTTACAGGGGAAGCAGAAATTCTCAAAATCTTAATTTTGACGATGTTAATATTAAAAGTGATTTAGAAACATAATATTATAATTCTTAATTATTAAGTATTATCAAATTTAGTATATAATTAAGAAATATGAATAATAATATAAATATCTACTAAAATCCTGCCGCGTAAACGTTTATACGTAAGTGGTGGGTGGCCACAGACCCATATTGTATGTATATATTGAGCGTCCTTCCCATACATCGTCACTTTCTTCGGAAACCACTGCTCCCACTCTTACCGCTTCAGACTTCCCCCACCATCCAGTAGCGTCAGTAGTGGGACAGCGATTTCTAGCAGCTACAGGGTGATCCATCCTCTCGCTATTGGGCCCAAAGGAATTGCCGCCACAATAGAATGAAGAAGTCGACATCCCATTTCTGTCATCGCTTACTTGACGGAGGTGGCCCCTGCAGCGGAAACGGCTGTGTGGGTGAAAATGTGTTAAGAAAATATTCTGTTTTCCGCAGCGTTTAAATGGGACTCTTCTGCTCATTACACACATTTTCACACACGCAGCCGTCTCCGCTGCAGGGGCCACCTCCGTCAAGCAAGCGATGACAGAAATGGGATGTCGACTTCTTCATTCTATTGTGGCGGCAATTCCTTTGGGCCCAATAGCGAGAGGATGGATCACCCAGTAGGACTAGGAATACGCGTCAAATATTGGAAGAGTCGGGAAACCAACTGAAAGAGTGGGGGGAGCCGAGCGCAGGCTGCGTGTTAGGGGAAGGAGCCACGAGAGGCCCGCGGGCCGCAAGTTAGACAGGCCTGCCCTAGGAGAAGTCTACTTTGTTCGATGCTGTACAATGTACATCTACTGACATGTATGTTATTTTTTCATGACTCGTAGTATTCTTTTTGTACGAAATAATAGAAGCTGTGATAATGTAATGAATTCGATAATCTCATTCTGTTGCATGATTTTATTTAAAAATTTGAAAATAACAGTTTATTCAATTTATTAAATAACAATTCATTAATGATTTTGTTAAAGTTTTGAATAAATAATTATCACATCTATTTGTTATCATACACATAGCTAGTTATATAAAATATGAAAAGAGATAAAATTTAAATATTTTAACGTTTCCACTTATAATTGTATTTTTTTTAAATATATTTTTTAGACCCTCGTGAAATTTTAAACAGTAGCCTGTAACCTTTGAGCAGGAGTGTAAATAATTTGTGTCGCATTAAACGTCTAATCTGTAAACAATTTAACTTAAACTTCTTTGATGAAATTTTGTTAATCAGGTCTAAATGCAAAAACTGAAATACTCAATCAAACAAAAAGTAAAGACTATGAACCACATAAACCAGCCAGTCATAAGACTAGCTTGGAACCAAAATACAATAAATCTCCCAATCAATATGATCCTAGTTATATGAAATCATCTTTACAACAATGTCGTAAAGTATGCTTCTTCTTGGAAATATAATTCTTCTTTTAAAACTTCGTCAGTTCCTCACAATCATCTAATTTTTATTATAGATTCCTTATTTGCACACACCTGAAAGTATTAAAGATGCGATAACGCAACGAAAAGTATTAAATTCTGATCCCCAAAGCTTTTTCGAAACTTCATTATGGAGAAAGGAGAAATTAATCTGCATATCCAAAATGCGGAAATCATATTGTGATGAACCAGTAAGACAATGTTATAAAATTATTATAATGATAATTAATTAATTGATAGCGTGTGTAACGTGATCTTTAAAAATTACATGCATACATTTTTTGTTTACAGTCACAATATACTGCACAACATACAGACGATAACGATACAGTTTCAACCGAAACTTTTACCCTAGCTCAAACGAACGAATATACTTCTCCAGCGAAAAGTGATAACACTTATGTGATAAATAAAACACCAGAAGGTAATAGATAGAACCATGCGTCAGCATTCTTGTTTTAAAATCAAATGAAGCTGATATTAAAATGTTTAATGAGTTTGCTGTGGATTACTAGTTATAAACACTCACTAAGTAAATAAGTAAAAATAATTTTAATATTAAGATTTGGATGGCCTCATCTAATATATGATTTTCATATAAATCCTTTATATCGAAATACAGATGACTGAAAAAGTTATTTTTGTGTATTTTTGTAATTATTAGCTTTCAATTTGAAATTATTACACAGTATAATGAATAGAAATAAATTTTAAAAAATTCTCACGTAAAAATTTATACAGCGTGTCTCATACAACTGGGCCAACATATATTTTTCAAATCGTATCAAACAGAGGAAAATTTTATTAGGCAAAATTAAACGGTGTAGGATAGAGTATCACATTAGGTGCTACTGTATGCGTCGGTTCCAGGCGTTTTATAGATTTCAAGGTCATTTTCACTTTTTTAAATGGGACTATATATTTTTCTACACGTCAGTCGAAGCATCTTTTTATTCTTTACAAAAAAGTATTAAGGCGCTTGAGTCGAAAATTAATTGGTTCGAAAAATATTTTAGGGAGAAATAGGTAAATGGTCTAGTGGTCTTTCCTTAAGAAGAAAGGTATCTTCTGAACCAATTAATTTTCAATTCAAGTGCCTTATTACTCTTTTGTAGAGAATTAAAAATATTTCGATTGGTGTATACTAAGGTACACAATTCCATTTAAAGAGATGAAGATGACTGAAATCTTTGAAACGCCTCCACTAGTAATGAATGCTCCATTCGACGACATTTCATTTTTTCAAATGACATTTCTTTTTATCTTATATCATTTTAGAGACGTAACTTGGCTTAGATAGGTAGAACACTGTATACATATAAATTCGTGACTGATGCCGTCAAAGTTTTAATATTAATTGAATGTGACACAAATGTCGTACACCTATCGTCAAGATCACAGCGAACGTATTGCAAAAAAAAGAATCGTCATTAAATCCCCCCTCCCCCCCAAATATAGTAGTCCTGTGATATTTGTATACAAATGATTATAATCATCTCTCATTTTTGATACAATAATTAGCTGCTGAAACCGAAAACAACCAAGAAATATTAACTCAGATTTCCGGAAATTCAAACGATTCGATGGAAACTATAAGTCCACGGAGTAAACCATTACAAGTTTTAAAAGACGCCTTGGATCGAGCTACGAAGATTGTACGCTCCGTCACACCGAACACCGATGAATCCTGTCCATCTCCTCCATTTAAGTCCTTTCAAGAGTTTGAAGACACAATGGACAATGGCCAATCCTGCAAATCTATCTTCGAAGACTTATACAATTTACGAATGAATAGAGATAACGAAAAAATTAGAATAATTGAAAGAGATACAACAAAGGACGAATCGTTTCTGTTCAATAAAAACAATATGACCAGTAACAAAGTCCAACAAAAGCCTGGAAACGAAGTTACTATCAGTATTAATAGTCGAGAAAAATCCAGTTGTTCCTATGATGCATCTTACAACAGAAGTTTTATCTGCGAATCAATTGCTGAAGTGTCGAGCGAATTTAATAACTCATGTAATGATATAAAGTCGGATAAAGAATTTAGAAATGATGAAACAAGCAATATTAAAGGAACTGTACAAACATCCACAATGACGATAGATCAAAGTAGTGTTGATGATCGGAGAGAAGTAAAGGAAAACGAGGTGAAGGATTTTAATTTGATGTTTCTAAATGATAGTTCGAAAAACAAAAATTGTAAGTCGTGTTATCACAATGCTTTACCAAGAAGACGTTCTTTACCAGCAGCATTGAACCAATTGAGATCAATGAATAACTCGGCTTTAGGGAAATTACCAATACGCAGAGGGGTAAGCACTTCATGAACAAGATATACTTTATACAGAATGTTCCATGCAACTCGGTCAAGGTATAGTTTTAAAATAATGGAAAATAGACAAAAATTTCATTAGACGAAATCTTTACAAAACCTCCACTTCTAGAATTGACACGTACATTATGTGATGCTCCATTCGATACCGTTCAATTTTTTCTAATATTTTTTTCTATTGTATACCATTTTAAAGCTATAGCTTTACTGGTCGTCAGTTGCATGGGACACCTTGTATATGTATAAGCAACTGCTGGTTAAAGTTGTTCTTTTTTTTTTTTTTATTGATATTTTATGACATCATTTATTTGAACATTACATAATTTAAGAACTAATTTCGATTATATATTAATAATATATTAATAACCTATATATAATATTAAATTATTATTTGTCTTTTATATGAAACATGTTTACAGGATGTTCCTGACAGCACTGTTGAAGACCTATATATAGACGATGAATTTGGCGACAGTTTAAACGTTAATATGGTCCTATTAGACGAAGATTTAACTGTTGACGAGGATTTTTTAACCAAGATATCGGAACTATAAAATACTATGGAATAATGATTATAATTTACGTTATTTGAAATATTGCTGATAATTTATTAAATTTTATTTTCAAACATATATGCAATATTACATAATTATCAAGTTCCAATTCCAGTTGGAATAATCACTACTAAAGATCAAAAACATACACATATTTTGTGTTCATTTACAAAAAATATTCATATATTTTGCAACTTAATATACATCAATCAATACATGACTGTGTATTTTTATGTTATGTGAAATATATGATCAACTATCATTAAGTACTGTAAAAATTAAAATGCAGTAACATTCTCATGTCAAACATAAGTGTAAATAAATAATATCCTTTATATGAAACATACAATAAAATAAATTCTTTTAATATTAATTTTCAGTTAATAAACTTACTATAAATACTACTATTAACAAATACAATAATTAGTATTTCAAGCATAGTGTATTTGCAATATAAAAAATACATAATATTAGTAAAAGAAAGAAGCTGTTGTGAAAAATAGATATCATATTTTCTATATCGCACTTACTATAATTTATGCTACATGTTAAACAGAAGTTTGGTACTTTTCTTTAATATTTGTCAGAAGCTGTTAATACACTAATATCAATTAAATTGCCAAGCCAAATACGGAAACAATACAATACATGGTCTTGTTTTCCCAACGTACTGTACAACTTCCATCAGTAGCATTATCCCAAAAACATGAGCTTGCTGTATGCAATCCTGCTCCATTCTTCTGCATAATAGTACAGGTAACTAAGAGAATTTTAAACAAGCAAAATTAAGGAATTTAATTTTTTGTATATTACTGATGTGTACTAAGACATTAATTTTTTTTTAAACATAGCAATAGTCACCAATATATTTGTATGGTTTCTGAAGTTTTGTCAGATTACCCAAGCATCCTTCAACAACATTTGATGCCCATTGATTTACTTTATTATGTTGATAAGTATTTCCACCAATGGATACTTCGATTGCTTCTTTAATAATTTTGCTTACATCATCAACCACAAATTGGATCTAAAACAATAAAACATTAATTAAAATGTATAAATATTTCTTTAACTTGCATTTTTAACATAAAGATAATAAATTTACATTTTAAAAATTTAAAGTTAGTGAAAATATACCAAGAAAAAATACTAACCTCTTCTTGCATATCTTCCATCATCTTGTCGGTCTTTTAATAAATTGCAAAATAATAAACAATTCTTATACAAACCCAAATGAATTGGTACCAACAATTAAAATATAGTCATTAAATTAATGTTTTTAATAAATATTATATTACTTTTGTCTTTAGTATGTTATTGCACACAAAAAGTTATACAGTTCACAAATGCATATTCCGTTAAATTTTTATTTTCTTATACCTCGTATTAATTTAAAAACGGTAGTATAAATAAATTAAGCGATATATTTCATTTTTAGTAGGTATCTGTCGGGGAAAACCTTTGTCGATATCTTCATCGAACAAAACAAATTGATTACTGTCACCTACTTGACACCTTGACACTGTCGCTACCATCGACAGTTGACATTCGTTCAAATGTTATATACATATACTTATTTTTAAACATGCAATCATATTAATACTGTGTCAGTACTTTTTCTATTCTGATTAATTTTAAATAAAATGTTCAAATTATATTTTTGTATGTTTCAATTACCTACTTATGATTCGTAATTTTTTCAAATAAACGCGGTATAATAGATTTGTTACAAGTAACTACTATACATATATGTAAGTATATAGGTGTGGTATTCTTGTTTGTGTGTATCATGTGTTCTAATTGTAACTTTTGATTGTCATTAAAATTGAAAGAGATACACTGTCTTTCTTTAATAAGATTTTTTTCCGAAAGATCTTGTACTCAACAATTATAAAATGATTGTTAAAAAATTAATAACTTTTAATATCTTCCATAAGATTACACACCTAGGTAAATTGTATATAAGATTTGGAAAGATATTTAAATTCTTCCTCTGCATAATCTTAATTGACTATTTTTTGATAACATTAGCAAATGTTTTTCGTTATATGTCTTCGTTATTCGTCTTATTCAATACAGAATTATTTAATTAATTGTATTATAATATAAAATGTAATGTAAATTGCAAGCATAATAAAACAAAATATAAAATTTAGAAAATTACTTTTAATTTGTTATATACATATGTACGATTATATTGAATTTGTGTTGTAAGACATTGTAACATAGATTATATTAATTTTACAGAATCACTGTCTAACACCAATCTTTTTGCAAACTCATATGTCTTCTTAGTTTAGCAGAACATCCACAACTATTACAAATCCTAAAGAATGTTTAAATTCTAATGTAATTAATAATGGAACTAAGGTAATAGTTTTATAAAATTATTATCTTTAATGTCAATTGTTTATTTTCTACAAATTTATGCATAATGTATATGTATGCTATTAAATTTAATAATTTATTTCTTTAGTTTCCAGTAAATGGAACTATTGGTCTGCAATTGAGTCGGAAAGCAAGTACAATTAATAGTGATCATGTATACATCTTTGAGTTTTAAAAAAACTTGCCTCATCAGCACTTCCAATTATAATTCCTACTGCATTGATAATGGAAAATGCTGTTTTTGATGGAATAATGTGTATATTAGTTGTAATGCATACACACTGGTGAATATTTGTTAATATTCATATTTTCTATTTTTTTAATATAAAATATAATACCATTAATAATATAGTATTAATACATAAATTAATAATACTTGAGTACAATATAATCCTTTTTCTAATAGGGGTTTGGAGGTTATTATTACAGACTATGCACGTCCAATTGTTGTTGGAACAGTATTACCAAAAATTTTACACTTGTCGTTATTTATCTTTTCAGCATTTATACTTTGTGGACTGCTTGTATTTATAAATGATGGTCCTGGTGTTTCACAGGCTATTAAAGACTTTTGGGCCATTGGTAAAAAACCTAGAGAGTGTTGCCATCAATGAATAATTGTTATTGTAATTTTAACACCTCGATAGATGATTAATTTAGGTATTTGATAATTATATATTGTAAATTATTTCAGAATAAATTATTTATCTTTGAATTTGGATTGTTTTATTTTATAAGTGTATGATCTAAAAAGTTATTGAATTACTGTATAATTGAAGAAAATACATTTATTTATTAAAATTATAAAATAGAATAAGTATACAGAAATAATTCTAGAATGATTCTAAAGTAATTCTAAAATGCTAAAATAATTCTAGAATAATTGTAAAATAAATCTAAAATTCCAGAATGATTCTAAAATTTCTCTAAAATTATTCTAAAATGGTTTTAAAATAATTCTAGTAAGTGTTACGAGTCGGAAGAAACGATTGTGTAGACGGGGCTCTCTCTAGGCTGAAGGGGAACGCGCACACCGGCATGTTCTCTAGTTTTACACAAACAAGCCTAATTAGTGATGTGACCGCTTCAACCAATACTAGGGCCGAAAATACATAAGTACTTATACATATACATACAAACATATACCGCAGTTCACCAGAGTCCATAACTGCGACGCGCAAGTTGGAAGATGGTGGGGGAACGCAGCGAGCTCTCTGCTAATCGCTTTCCACTTCGTTTGGGAGTATCGCCAATCAGGGCGAAGATGCGCACTGGAGAAGCGCGAAGAACGAAAACTGGTCTTTTCGCAGTTATGGACTCTGGTGAACTGCGATATATATATGTATATTATAGGATACACCTGTACCTTAGGAGCATGGTGATTCGTGAAATTTTTAAAATTAACAAAGATATTTTGTTTTTAAATGATGGTTTAACTAATTATATTATGATAAACAGTGAATTTAATTATTAATGAATGAAATAGTATCACATAATACAAGAATTGTTCAATTTATGTGTAAAGTATGTTGCACTCGTACAAAATGTTGCACAATAATTTTTTAACGAAAATGTTTCAGTATTCTACGCACGTTACGACTAAACAAATTTTTGAATGTCTTGCTCATCGTAATAAAATATGTAATAATACTGCACGGTTATTTTACAACGATAGGAACAGTATCGATTACTTAGTAAAATACCTACGCAAACGACAGGATACGATTGATCTTTATGTTGAGGATGAAGAGAAAGTTACATTCAAGAAGAAAACGAATAGTGGGCCATTAAGTATGATGTATTTTAACCCTACTGCACCTGAGATACATGATTTTTTTACATATAATTGGATACGCTGGTGGAAACATTATAAAGTACAACTTAGAAAAAAGTTACAAAAATATAGGTATGAGAAAAATCAAGCATTAGGTCCTGATTTAGCATCAGCTAAATTTGTGATAATGAGTGGTGGCAGAGTGAAGTTTACAAATCAAAATGACTGGATCGATAACTCTAATACAACTGAAATTGCTAATTTTCCAAAAGAATATCAACCAGACTTTGTCTTAGAAGGATTAGATTTAAGAGGATATCCTTTAGAATATGAAAATTTGTATGTCATATCTCATTTACATCACCTTAAATGTCTGATCTTAAGAGGTTGTAACACAATTAATGATTGGAGTATAGATAAAATAGCTGGAGAATATCCAACATTAGAATATCTTGATATATCAGAATGTAAGAATGTAACAGAAAGAGGATTAGAGGCTTTATACAAAATGCCCAATTTAAAGCAATTGCTTGTGACAAACTTTTATGATTCTGCAGGATTCGAGTTAACTTGTTTAATGTTAGAAGATGTTAATCCACATCTAAAGTGTGAAATTCTAAAACTAGAAAAGGACATGTTATTAGTACGTGGATATGAAAAATAAATGTAAATTTTAATAATATTGTAGCATGTTTTATAAAATATACATTATTATAATTTATAAAAATTAAAAATATTTATATATTTAATCTTTTGTATAGAAACTAAGTATTCTTTATCAATTTATTTTTCTCTCTGCGCTTCTTAACATAATATAATTCTGCTTTATTTGTAACTCCATAAGCTTTGATGTTTTCATTATCATTTATCAGTTTTACATTATCAAAGCACAAATGATATTTTTTCCAAATGTGTGTCCAACTTATTTTTTTCTTAACATTCTCTCTTTTCAAAGATAAATTTGTGTGACGCTTGATAGCTTTCTTGAGATTTAAAACTGTAGTGTTGTGAGGAGGCACCTAAACGTGAAAAAAGTGTTTTTAAATAATTACATAATGTAATTTTTGTAATGAGGAAAACAAAAAAATTTATACGAAATAATGTTACCACAATCCCAAGTTTTGGTAGTTCTCCACGATTCAAATACAAAGTTATTGCTTGCCCTTGTGCAACTGCAATTTGAGCTTTAAGTTCTTCAACCGTAACATCCGACGGTAAACCAGAGAACAGCGGATCACTTTCTATTATATTATCAATTGCTTCTTTCGTTAATTTAACTAACTCATTATGATCAAGTTCTGATTGCTTATCGATTATCTCTTCGTTCTTAAGTAAATATTTATTTTTATGTTCTACATTTTCTAATTTACTATCCTTAACAGTACTCTGTGCTTGATCCATGTTATATTAATACATACCGTTATAAAGAACGTAGGAAATATAAATGGACATAGGGAAATATTAAATAATAGTAATACAGCATAAGTTTCTTATGCTTTCTGGAATATGATAAAAATGTCTTTAAAATAACATACATATATATGTACTATATACGAAGTATATATATATATACATAAGATCATCACTGGAAAACAGTGGACTATACCGTTTGTTCAGAGTTGACGCAGGCGCACATCGTATTTATTAGTGCAATGAGGGCGCGGTTGTCACCGATCAATCTCGACTGCATTTGTATGTATGCAGTTCATCTGAAAAGTTTGTGAGCTGTAGTTTGTTTTACCTGCGTACGTATTGTGTTACTTTCAAACATTTGTTTGAAGTGCGATAATCGTTAGTTAAAATTATACATCCTAACGCACGGCTATCGTGCAGAAGGTGTACTGATACTTGAATTAAGAACGAACTGAAGTCAAAACATCCATCAAGATGACGATTATCACAAAGGCCCTTACCGAGAAGAAGACGGACAAAAAGGAGCAAGCGTTGTTTGTTGAAGAAAATGCTGGGGTTAGCATTTCTTTCAATCTAACAATTTTCATCAACTTTAAAAAAGAATAATTGATAAACAAAGTTTTTTATATATTTTAAATATACTTTGCTGTTCATAAATAAACATATATGTAGTCCTCGATCAATTACGTGACCGAATTTTTATTTCTATTGAATGCTATTCTAAAGTATATAAATTCATCATCATAATTGTTATTGGCAGTAGAAAGATAACGTATATAAAGCATATTTTACAGTGTCATTTGATAATAGATTATTACATGTATTCAGCATTATCATAGCGTCATTGTTATTATTATGGTTATTATGATATTGATTTATGAATTTTCTTATGTCAGTGCAATTTTTTTCAATTCTAAAATAAATATATGTTTAACAGTTTTAGTGTTAACAGTCTAGTGTTAATTTGAATTTTAATTGTCTCAGTTAAAATTTTCTTTCTATGAATACATGTTTTTTTAAATAGGAAACTTCAAAGAGAGATCCAGAAGCACAACGTCAAAAGTCTGATGTAGGAGGTCATTTTTTTGTTTCACGAAGAAGCATACATCATATTCATGTTACAGCAACATTTTCACTGTTCCTTGTTGCGTTGATGATTCTTATCATTGGAGTAATTGGAGGTTTATACATATATAGGCAGTATGCTCGAACACAAATGCATAGATTTAGAACAGGATGGTACAGCATTCCATACGATAATTCGAATAAAGCATCTTATGCTGAAAGTGCTGCTCAACAAAGTTTGATGGCAGATTTAGATTTGCTTTTAAGAAGTTCAATAAAAGATGAACAGCAGGAAGTAATGAGTATTGAAAAAAATTTTGATGGCAATATAAGTAGTTTCTTCAATGAACAATTTGAATTTGATTTGGAAAATGAACATTATGAGAAAATTGATGTGCCTGACTTCCGTGGTGGTCGTCAAGGCAGGTTCATACATGATTTCAACATTGTAAGTTTAATAAATTAGGAGATACTGTAAATAACATTTTATATAATAAATTACAGCTTTGAATTTATATTTCATTTTGCTGTAGAATAAAACTGGTATTATTGATGTTGATGGGCGATGCTGTTTTGTTATGCCACTAAATCGTAAAACAGTTCTACCACCACGCAACATGTATGATCTTCTTCGAAAAATATACAATGGTAAATATAATTAGGTTTATGGAAGAGATATTTTTATTTTTAAATTATCTTATATTAATATAAGTATTGTATATTTATAATTGTTTCAGGTTATTATGAAGTAGACACAGAAATTGTACGTGAAACAATGAAAGTAGTAACACCACCGATTACCGATTTATCAGTGGTTGGTACATATATAGCCCGTGAATGTCAAGATTTACCAACATACATGTTAACAAAAGTCAATTCAAATGGTCAGTTATTAAAGCATTTAATAATAATCACATAATATTTTTTGCTATACTAATTTCTTTATTTTTACTTTACAGTTGTTAAACGTAGCATATCAAGTGGTGTGTTTGGACAGTTTGCAGGAAAAAATATTATAGAGTTTGATATTTTGAATTTAGTTGATGTTGAAGCATATCAGAAAAGTTCGCAAAATTAAATGAAAGGAATTTATTATTATTTTAGAATATTTGCCATCAGTAGATCAATGTATAAAAATTGTATCCAGCTCAGCAAAAATAGGTAATTCCTCTGTTTAATTTCTGCAAATCTTATATTACCATCTAACTATTATTTCTTTACAAGCTAATTCAACAATAACTATTTATTTTTAAATATACCTAAATTCACTTTCAGAATGTTAAGTCTTCCCATCATGTCCTATCTTAGCTCTGAATCAGTAAATCTATAATAAAAATAAAATATATTAATTACTGTTTAACATTTTAAGAAAGTTAATTCAACAGCAAGCTGACTATATATAGCTTATGTGATTTAAAAATTACTGCATTTTTACGAAATATTCAGAGTATTAATATATACAGATTAAGTTTCAGTGAAATGCTGATGGTGCTTATTTTTAAGGTAGAATTGTATGTTCTTCTCCATTTATTTATCTTTTATGCTTAAATTGTTTGACAGTACAGTTCTAGTAAAACAATAGAAATAATTCGTGTTGAAATCATTGTACATCTATTACATATAGCTATGTGATGGAATAATTAATCACTGTACAAAGTAACAATTACGTTGTGTTCAATCATGCAATAATTTTACAATCATGGATCGAAACATTTTTACTGAAAAAATATTTTATAAATGTGTTTGAAATTAATGATCATTTCAAATTGAACTAAAGTATGTTACCATGTCTTATCATATCTCTTTTTCATTAGATAATAATCAATGTGGTATAGTAACACATGTGATCTGTTAAAACTTAACATTAAAATATGTATTAAAAATGGTGAAACATAGATAATAAAGATTCTGTGACCAGATTGATAGTGTGAGTGTACTGAACTTCCTTTTCCTCTCCCATACATATATACTACTAAATTTATACTAAATATTCCTCAAAGAAAAATTTAAAATACCTCAGGAATTTATAGTTTTTTTGATACTGTATCTTAATACTTTTTTACATAGAATGTTCCGAATACACAAAAATACACAGTTTCAATTGAAAAAATTCTATTGGGATTGTATACTTCTTATGACTTCAGTCAAAGCGTTTTTTTATTCTCTACAAAAAAGTATTAAGATACTTGCATGAGAAACTGATTAATTGAAAAGATATTTTAAGGAGATACAGGAAGAGACTACAGGTCTCTTCCTAAGATATATTTTGAACTGATGAATTTTCGATCCAAGTATCTTAATACTTTTTTGTATGTAATAAGAACATGCTTCGATTGACATCTAGAAAACGCATACATGTATCGTTCCGTTTAAAAAAGTAAGAATAACCTTGAAATCTTTGAAACACCTTTACTTCCGGAACCAACATACGCATCATGTGATGCTTCATCCGACACCATTTAATTTTTCTTCATGATATTTTTTTCTATCTTATATCCATTTTAGAGCTTTAGCTTGATCTACTTGCATGAAATATCCTGTATTTTATTTCTGCGCTTTTAGTACCAAACACATACCTACATACTTCTATGCACAATGATGTTTCACCGGATCTGACGCAGAGCGCGTCAAATTTATAAGTCAATAGCTTTGAAGAATCACCAGTTTAACAACTTCAACTAGTTTTAATCTATTAAGCAGGATTCTCTTCATTTCATAAATTTCTTCTTATTTTCTTTTTCTCTTTTCTTTAGTTATCCACCATCTTCTACCATTATTTACGCACGACATACGATTCTCTTGCAAAAAAAAGATAGATGAAGAATCCGACGATCTTTCATGGTTCGACTGCCATTTCTTTGTCCGCTGTCTGATACAAATCTATGGTAAGTGTATAGTACAAAGTAAAGTATTAGTTAATTACATGTTTCATAATTAGATTCCGTAACACAGAATTTGTTACTTTGCTTTTCAATATATATTTATGCTAATTTTAATATTCTGTGTCATAGATGTGTGCAGGTCGAGTATAATATACAGGAAGCAAGATAAGAACATGGTAGGAGGATGCAATGTTAAAGTGAAACCGTAGGAAATACGCGATTCTGCCTAATCTTTATATCATATTACTTGCGTTTTATATAAATTGTAAGATAAATTAAGTTATTGGATGTACAAGAATAGAAAAAAAACCAAATACGTAGTTATTCAAAAATCTTATTGGACCCGTATTTCAAAAATTCAATTAACAAAGTTTTATAAAAACCAAATATTTCAGGCAAAGTTATAATTTTAATTCAAGTTCTTTAACCTTTCGTTGTAGGGTTAGTTTAAGTACCTTTTTACAATTGTTTATTTATACAAGGCTTATTTGTTGTATACAGGATGTTACATGCAACTGGTTCAAGTTATAGTTCTAAAATCGTAGAAGATAGAGAAAAATGTCATTAGAAAAAATCATATGGGGTTAAATGGAACATCGTACGATGCATGTGTCGGTCCCGGAAGAAGCGTTCCAAAGACTTCAAGATCAATTTCTTGTTATCTCACATCTTATTACTCTCTATAAAAAAGTATTAAGATACTTGGGTCAAAAATTGATTAGTTTAAAAGATATTTTAGGGGATGAGTGGGAGAGCACAATGGTTTCTTCGTAAGATATCTTTCAAAGTAATTAATTTTCGACCCAAATATCATAATACTTTTTTGCAAAAAATAAAAACCGTTTTGATTAACATCCGACAAAGTACACAGTTTGAATAAAATCTTTCAAAAAATATTAAAAAGATATTTCATACGAAAAAATCCTACAGACTTCAATAAGTATTTGTACTCAGATCATTTTTACCATTTTAAATACTTCATATACTCCTAACTGTGTATTAAACCCTCACTTTTTTTCTTATTTTTTAGAAATTCTTTCCGACTGTGCAACGTAATTCTTAATCACAGTACTTAAACGTAGAGAGCGCAACAAAACGAGGTTTTGCAAGAGGTCGGTATTTCAGATCGTACGGTAGAAACTCCTACAAAAGTTGGCTGGTCTATTCTATAGATTATAGCAGGTCCATAGTAAAATAAAATAAAATAAAATAAAATAAAAATATGGTTACGAGAGTCCGCAGTAGCTGAGCATGCTTAGTGACTGGCTCGGCAGTGTAACAGCCGGAGGAAAAAGCGGTTGGTAGGAGAGGGTCCCGTTAAAATAAAACTTCGATTTTCTACTACTCCGAACACACTATCGTACGCGAATAATTTTGCCGTGGTGGCGCAATTGTAAAGCGACGAGGAAGAAACCGCGGTGCCGTGCTTCTGTTCAGTTGGTCGCTTCGCCGGCTGCTTATGCTGTCGGTGTTACCGTGGACAGTTAATGATTCCCGTTTCGAACTCGTGGAATATTGATTGCATTCTGTTACGAACAATTTTCAGTCAACGAAGGATCGTCTAACGTGGGTGTTGCGCGACTCTCCATTAACGAGCAAGGTACCGATCGTTGTGCACCACGTGCAATTTGAAAAAAAGTAAAAGAATTGCGTTTTCTCGTGAGTAGCGTAAAGGAATTTCCTTGCAGTAGAGTCTCGTGTATGTTCCTCTGTCAAACAATCGTGATATCCATGAAGAGACATAAAGTATTAAATAAGATTCAAAATATCAATTTTGTTATAAATAAGTCAGTTTAGAAATTGATTGGCTAAATAAATAAGAAAATGATATTGATCGTTGCGCCTGTAGTAACGCTATATGTAACGCAGATGCTTGGCTCGTGCCAGGTGCAACTCCGAAATGCATCAAAATTGATCCTAGCGTTTCTATTTAATTTTCCAAAACTACAAGCACTGATAGGCTGCTCGTATCCTCGCTAAACCACCAATCAGTTAATATTCGCATCTGGTGTAATTTCGAACAAATGATATTTCAGAGACTGCAGCAGAAAGTGCATTATACAGTTTTTGAAAGGTGGTGTATATTGACCGTGATACATCGTATAGGTATAAATACGATCGTTGTTGTGGCAGTTCATGTTATCCCTATACGAGACAAGATAGTGATCGTAACACGTGCGATTCTGAAACAAAGAGGCTGTTGGCTCTCTTGGACAGAGTAGTCTTCCGTAACTTCTTGACAAAGAGACTGATTCGTAACAAAGAGACTGTGTGATACAATTCTCAAATGCTAAACTCGTCCGTTCATAGTAGTGGCGTCCTGTTTGCTTCGGGAACGTAACCGAGATTGACCTTGTAGTTTCGTGCAGATTTTTAAAGCGTACGGAATATTAATTTGACAAAGAAGAAGCGAACGAGCGACGAACCAAGCCCGTTTTAGCTTTCATACGCAAACGGATAGATGTCAGTCGCTCGGCTATCCCTAAAATGCAAAGTATTGATCGTGGTAACTTGTACGGTTCAGAAATAATGTTACTACCGATACCGTGGCTACCTTACGTAATTTCGAAACATAAAGAGTGCTCGTCTTAAGTTCGAAGCGAAAAGAGGGTTCCCTAAGATTCGCATTCGTGAACGATCGTATTATCTTGTGTAGGTTGACATTCCTAAAGAAATTTTCAATAGAAACGAAAGGATCATTGTCCTAATTATCTATTCTCTGACAAGAGAGAAATTCTCAGATATATATATATATACATATATGTATATATATATATATATATATATATTTGTACTAACTTTCACAGTTTCAAAATACAAGTAGCAGAATTCGGTGGATAGAGTGGGTGACATTGGAACATGGACATCAGACTTTTACTGTTAATCCTGGCGATCATCGGTGCAATGTTTGGTGCGGTCGCAACCAGATTCGGGTTTCCCGGATTTAACAAGATCGCACAGATCGTGCTTGCTGTGGCGTTGCTACCCGTGCTATGCAGATTTCATCGGAAGCTGTACGTCATCTGCAAGGTTCTGCCTCGTGATATGAAGTAAGTCACAAATCATTTCTCGTTTACATTAGACGCGAATTGATAGGGATGGTATATACGTTTCGATAATCGTTTTCAATGATCCGTTTTAACCCTACTGTCCCCCTTTTGAATCTATATTACATTTTCATACTGTTTTCTTTTTTTTAATATTTTATGTTTGCTTTTATCACTATTTTATATTTCTTAAAATAAAATTGTATCATAATTTGCAAAAACGTAACTCTCAAATCTATATTAAGAAAAAGATACGTTTGAGGATTTCTTTTTAAAATAGACAAAATTCACACCAAAGGAGTTATAGATTGATGTTATCGATTTATTGATTGAAAATCAATTAATAAATATTTCATTATGTAATTGAAATATTAATATTTAATATAGGCTGTAATAAAAGAGAGCTTAATATTATACTCTGTTTGATTTTGAAAAATTGATATTTCATTCTAACGATTAGTTTGTCTTCGCGCAATAGGTCACTTGTTCATCCATTGAAAAGCGAGAATTACGGTTTTCGATGGATCGATGGTTATACGCGGGAAAGAAGAATTACCGTTTTGTTTGAGCAAAGAAAAGAACGAAAAAAACTATGTCTTAAATGCGTTATGATATTTCTTAAAATTCTTTTTATTATTTTTACATCAATTTGCGGGTTGTTATAATTTATACCTCGTCTAATAAATATCTATAACTTTTTGTATTGAAATGATTATTGGTTATCTCTAATATTGTTTCTAATAGCATGACTTTACTTAACACATATTTTTGTCTGTAATATTTAGATTGTTTAATTGCTCTTTACATGTCACTTGTTTGTCACTTTTATTTACAATAAATTAATGAATACAATTATATCTTAATAACAGACTCTATGTCATAGAACAATATAAATCAGGTCTTGATTTCTTCTTTTAAGTGCTTTCAAGTTTCAATTAAATTAAATACGTGAAGAAAGAAGTCCTTGAATAGTTTTATTGGAAAATAAATTGCTTAATACTTAAAACTACTTAAAATACTTAAATTCCAGTAAAACATATAACTAAAAGATCATCACGAAAAATTTGACAAAAGTTCTCTTATTCTCAGCATTATTACTTTTATGTTGTTAAATTTTGACAATTTCACATTGCACTCTGTATTAAAAATAATTTTGAAAATAATCTCCTTCTGTTTAAGACAAGAAAATAACGAAATGATCATTCTAACTATAATCAGGAAAACCACAATATCTTGGAAGTTATAATTTTATACGTAGGAAAATTTCTACTGGCAGTGGAAAACAGTAGTCAAAGCAAAGGGAAAGGGTGAAAACATAGAGGGTAAAGGGAGAAAAGGTCGCTATTTATGTTTTCGAAATACGAGAAAATAGCTTTAAGCCTAAGAACCGTATTTTGCCCGTTGTACGACGCAAATTGCCTTATACACGTCAAGTTACAGTAGTAGGTAAAACACCGACGACGAACCAATTAAGGTAACCCTCCCCTAAGTGCAAAGTGTTGGAACGTTGAAAAGCTGGATCTAAATTTATCCATCTATTCTGCAATGTTATAACTCATTTTCTTTGCAACAACTGTAAATAAGCGTACAGGCAGATTTTAATGCATGTATTTCTTCTACCCTAACGGTCTGCTTTGGCCAACGAGCATAGCTTTGCGAGGGTCAATGACCGACCATCATTCAAGAAAGAAACAGTTTACTGCATGGATGGATGGGTGGGTGGTAGTAGATGAATATTGTCGTTATAGATAACAAGAAAATTCATTTAAAATATCAATTAAAAAATACGAATGCGTGGGCACATTCAGTTTCACTTTTAATCAGTCTCACGAGTGCAGGCAAGATATAAGAGTGATAAAACAAACGATGTGTGAAAGTTAAAGTAATCGGGTTAAACGAATGGTGGAACGCACTTCCTGCGTTCAACGATGAACCATTTCTGCGCTTTCCTTGTCGAAAGCGGAAAAAGTACAGATATGCAAAATTTGCACAAAATTAGAAATATACATTTGAAGAATTAAAAAGAATTATTAAAAGCTACTTTGTGCTTTAATACGTTGACTATTATCTGGCCAGCAGCCTAAAGGCGATCGGAATGTTAATATAACCTAACCTAACTTAACATACAAATAACAAAAATAGTTATATTCTGTCAACATTGGTATTATTCATTGTGCACTACAAGATGTTGGCGGTATTTTATTTTTTCTGTTATTTATTCGTCTACATTAGGTTAGGTCACACATGACCACGGGTGCATACGTATACATAGACAGAATTCGCTGTATGTAGTAGTAATAATATTCTTTCGCTAATATCTCGCAAGTTAATTGAGTTCGGCATATAGCTTAGAGGAAGAAAGTTGCTTAAAATATCGAATTTTACAACATATTTAAAAAACATCGAAATCAAAGGGGGAGTAGCTTTTCTACAAGTTCACCGTCATTTATATTTGACTGGTGCTTAAATTCCCAACATTAAAAATATTTGTATTAAGTACCTACTTGAAATGATGGGTATTAGACAACATTTGTTAATCCTTGGATGGCGGACCATGGGGAAAGCTACAATTTCAATTTAATTATGTATTTTATATTATTTTCAATTTCTAAATTTTACACTGTTTCTTTAAAAATTACTCTTCCAATATACATATAAATCTCTTTCATTTGAAAATCATACATTTGACTTTAGATTAGTATCCTTGTATGTTTTGTAAGTTTGGGTTTTGATTAATCCAGCCTCCGCTGTTCAACGGTTAAACGTAAAGACACTTTAAAATTATAGCTTTAAAACACTAGAAGTTAAAAAAAAATGTATTGAGCAAAACTAAAAGACAAACATTTGAATGGAAGACCCTGTATATTGCAAAAAGCTAAAAATTTTAAGAAAATAGTGTTTTACATCGAAGGTTTCTATTTACGAAGAATCATTTATTATCTATAAATATCCTGTTAAAATAAAACAATAAGCTTTGAATAATTAATAAAAACGCGACTTGAAATATTGATATAAACGTATAAATCAAATGATTCGAAATATATTTCATATTTTATTGTAATACATATTATTTTGGTATTCTTATTTAGCAGCAAATAATATTATTTACATAAGGTTATTTGGTATAATATTTTTTTGGAGTGTGAGGGGTTAAATCTGGTTCATTATCAATATAGATTAAAAAATGTTTACCGATGTGATCCAAATTTGGAAAGCTTACCCTTTAATAGCTCGAACCCAGTGTATCAACCTGTTTTATATTTACCGTGCCCATTTCCTTCGGCAGAAATAAGTCTGTATCTCTGTTAGATGTCTCATACAAGCTATAAACTGATCGAAATACATAGTGCAATGCAATGATGATAATAGAGGTCAATCGTTTCATAACCCAGAATGTATATACTAGTCTATTGCAATGAATGAATGAAATTATGTATATTCCATTTTTTTTGCAATAATCGCTCACAAAGTAGTTATAAATATTCCAATAATCGAATACTAAAGACTGTAAAAAACACTAATAGTAATGATAATAAGTGGTCAAAGTATAAATTTCATTTTCCTACAATACAAAGTTCAAGTTTTAGAAATGTTAACATAAATGAATTATTAACATATTGATAAATACATATTTCGGTATGAGACTTTAGAATTCAGGATTTTTTATGAATATATACAGTAAAACATAATTTCTTTTATTTTTATATCTGTTCTGAAAAAGTAAATATTTTGATATCCGAAATGTTTAAATGAAGTCAGGTACCTAGATGTCTAAAATAATATTAATTTCATGTAATAATACGAAATAGAAAAAATAGAAAATTAAATATTTCTGTAATTAATAATTGTTAATATATAATATTTATTTAATTATATTATATTTAAATTAAATAGATAAATACTAATATTTAATCTAAATATTAGGTGTACAAATTAATTCGGTGCCCTTTAGCATTAAGCCTTCTTAATTGTTATTTTAAATTTAAATATTTTTTTGCGCTTTTGTGTATTTAAAAAAGCGTTAGATGTCTGTACATGAAATAGATATTTAAAATACCAGTAATAATGTTACTTAGAATTTACTTACTTGCTCTTTTCTTAATTATTTGATTAAATTAACTCGTTTACTGTTGCTATCAAAACGTTTTAATCGAGCACGTTAGTTAAAACGGATCATTGGGCTTGCTGCATTGAAATGCATAAAGAATCTATATCGCACATGACCCTTGTATTTGTTACATGGAGACTTATGTAATTGTCTTCGCGATTGACTATTGAGAGGCAAAGGGTCAACAAAACGTATTTTTCCATCGATGAATCTTGCCTGTCCATGGCACCATTAATACTTGTTGGATACCGTCATAGACTAAGCAAATATTTTTACTCTTCTCGTTTCGGTTAAGATAGAGAAATCCTAAATTCTGTCTCTAGCCGCACTGTCTTCTACATATGTATATGTACTCGTATGTATACAATTACACGTACGACCCTTGAGTTCCTTACTCACCATCCCTGAATCATACGCTTGATCCTTCGAACCTCATTGTCAGTAATATCCAAGAACTCCTATTGGTCCTAATCCTCATTTTCACCACTTTCAAAATCAGACTTCCGACCTTTTAAAAACAGTACCAGAACACTTTTCCTTCAGAATAAGAATACGAATCAGAGCCAGAAGTAGAGTTGTGTAATCACGTAAAGAATCGCTAGCAGTAGGAAATTACTTTAAGTGTCCAATGTAAGAATTCCGTGTATTAAGTTTAATAAAATATTTATTAAACATCGGAATCTAACATATTGTATTGATAGTATTTTTCAATACAATTCCTTAAACGGTATAATAAACACATTACTATTGCTTTGAAGTACACTAGCGTGAAAATGATATGACACTAAAAAAATTTCTATTCATTTATTTATTTGTTTGTTTGTAGACTGTATTTGTAGATATAAACTCCATACACAAAATAGAAAAATAGAAGCTGTACCTATGTATGTACGTAATAAAGTATAAATCTGTGGCTTGGTGCAAGGAGTTTATATTCAAATAATTTCTGCTGTTGTAATACAACAAGAAAGAATTAATGCTCATGCTATTTGTGTTTTTTACAAAACGACATAAATTTATTAAACACGTTTATTTTATGAAAAATTTTGATATTGGCATTTACAAATTAGGCTCCCTTAAGGGAAATGGTGATGAACGAGAAGCAGGAATTTCAAAATCTTAATCTTGACGATATTAATCTCAATAGTTACTTAACAAAAAATAATGTAATTTTTCATTATTAAATATTATAAAATTTCGTATATGACTAAGATATATGAATAATTAATAAATATAAATTCAAATTTTCCCTGTAAACGTTTAAACGCAAATAATAGGGCCAGAGTCATATGTACATACAATCTTATATGGGACCCCTTTTCTACCGTGTTAGTTTTCCCGGCACGGCGATACTAGTATTAAGGGGAACCCCGAGCACCAGGGACATCAGACATTTCCATTTTTCCTGAGGAAGTCTGACTTGATCGTGAATGCACAAAACATATTTTCATTGATGGTACTGGAATTCTTGAAAATTAATTTCGGTGGTACGCATTTATGGAAAGGTTGAGAATCGCTGAAATGTATTTAACTTTTTAATTCAAAGATTTAACTCTGACAGATACAAGTTGGACCTTCAGTTTTATGTACTTATTGAAGTGCTTCTTACATTAAAAAGTAGCAAACACTTTAAACATTAACATTTGAAATCGTTCCATGTTTTGAAAAATAACAAAATATGTCTGAGCAAAGTTTAAACTTTGATCTAAGCATAAATTATTATTATTGAGAAAACGATCCTGAGTGTCTAAAATGAAAGCGATGACATAAAAAGAGCGGATCATTAACAACAGAGCATTTCATTGGCGCACATTGCAAATACCTCTTTGAACACGAGCTCTTTGTATTTGCTACGAATAATATCGTGTTTACTGTGTCTTATCGCTTTGTGTTTGCAACAGTGACGCCAGACGGGAAACCAGAAAAAATCTGTAAAAGCCTGAGAGGTTTCTTTGTCCATTAAAGATTAAATACTTTTCTTTTTTATATTCGTACAAAATTAATTTAAATTTTATTCAGTAACTGCAACTTAAAAAAAAAACCACCTATTTATACATTTGCTGAGATATACGTTGAATATTGTTGAGATAAAGAATAATTATGTATGATAATTTATTTTTCTTCCTTCTTTCATCTAATTTTAAAAATTTATTTTCATTTTAAAAATAGATAACATTCATTATTAATTGCTGTGGTGTTAACACTCTATTAACTATAAACTTTTATTTTAATTTTACTAATAAGAAGAGACTCTGAACTCAGTAATTTAAAAAAAAAGATATATAAAATTTTGTGAATATCTGAATTAATTAGGAGGATCTCCTAATTAATATGCAATCATTTTTGCTTACATTTTCATCTTCTAAGAAGGTAAAATATGCCCTTACTATACATACCATCTTATAATAAAATTTCATTTATTTTCTTAAATAATATTTTTTAATGATTTTGGTAAGAAAAAAGGAACGAAGAATGGTTGAAACTTTAAGTTTTCCATCTATTTACACTGAAAATAGGCAGTGAAAGTAAATTACGTTATCAGGAGAATACATATCTCCGGTACGTTTACAAAGTTCGCAATTACTGAGTTTCAGATCTTTCTTAGTTATTCAAGGACAGTCAGTTTCGTCGAATATAAAAACGTTATGTTCACTGCTTTTAATGAAAAGCTAATGTAATGGATTTTCTTTTATGGAGACCTTTTATAAAATGTTTTCAATATGCGTTCTTAATTATTATGTGCTTCTCTTATTGTTTGTTAATCAAATTGGAATTATATGACGAAAAAATAATTCAGAATCATTAATGGAAACAAGTCGCCTTTTGTTTGAACTAAAGATGCCACTTTATTGAAGTTAATAAAGTAAATTTCTTTGGTACAATAGTAATAGTATTGGCGTAGAAAGGAAATCGATAAAATTTAAATATTCACCACCACCTATTTAACATTATTAATATTATATTAATATATGTTAGTTAGCTCCGGTTTAAAGGGATGTCTAGGGGAGCTGTAGCCCGGGTCCCACTTTGCAGGAGGCTCCATTATGTCTTCCATTTACCATGGCAAAAAATATTGAATGTATTATAATTTATTTTACTAATGTCCTTTTTCTTTATATTTACATGTTATTTTATTTTGTTTAATATAAACTTCAGTTTTTGAACCAAAGGGACCCTCGAAGGTTCGATAGGCTTGGGGCCTCGGAAATCTTAATCCGCTGCTGACTTTAGTAATCAATATTAATATTAATATTAACACATTGAACCTAGGGGGTGGGGTCACCATCGATCAATCGATCATACATTTAATATTCTCCAATAACTAAAAGCAAAAAGTAATTAAAGAAAATTATAATCAACAATATTATTATATAAATTTTGTAAGACAGTATGTAGAAAATTAAACTGGAAAATTAAACAAATGCATTTTAAATAATTACAATAATTATATAATTCCGTTCATTTTCATGTTAAGATATTTAACGTGTTAAAAGAAGATTCATTATTTTACAAATTATGTAGAGTGCAACGAACGAATAAATATTCCATTAATCTAAAATTGTAAATCAATATCTCATTAATGCAAAATTGAAGTTAATGATTGATTTATTCAAAGAAATTAATATTGATTGCTACAACGGGATAACCAATTATAATAACATGGAATTTATGCAAAAGGAAAAGCAGAAAAAATAGAAATTCCGCATTGCGCAATGGAAGGTCATCGATTGACTAAGCCATTCTTACATCGTCCAAAGAAATCCAGAAACTGTTTGGAGAAAAATGATAGACTCATAGTTGAAACAAATCTAATTACAGTAATCGAAGAATTCAATTATTTTCTAATAAGCGCAACGTATTTCCTGTCGTTTATAAAACTTCCTTCCAAGGTTCATTCTAATATCACCGAGCATACTACTTATGTACATACCTCGTTTATCATTGACAAACAAGTCATTCAAAGTTTCACAGCTTCTTCTTTTAATTGTTTTATTTCCACGTAAGGACCCTTGACTTTCAAACTCCTTTAACATGGTAAACTTTGATATACAATTGACTATAAGATATAATTATGAATAAAATTGCGTGCGTATTTGAAGCTTATTAAATTCAATAATTTTGATAATGTACACTCGCGATCAAATGGGGCTTCTCCAACAAAAATAACCATGTCCCTGGTTCCCAGCCTTCTCATAGGCATCCCCGGGGAAAATGTCTATGTAAAGAAGGAGCCCTACATACATACATACATACATACATACATACATACATATATACATACATATGTATACATACATACATACATGTTATAGGTCCGTGGCGGCCCACCACTTGCATATATGTAAACGTTTACGCGGAATTTGAATTAATACCTACATTCTTATTCGTATTTTTAACCGACTTCGAAAAAGGAGGAGGTTGCTCAATTCGATCAGTATATTGTATATATCTTTTTTTCTGTGTTTGTTCACCGATTACTCCGAGATGGATGGACCAATCGGAACGAAACCTTTTGCATCTTGTAGATTGTAGAGTATGTCTCTCGATTGGTCCCGTTAAAAAACATTTTTCATTTTTTCATTGCTAAGGATTATTATTGCAAAACACAGGAAGTGTCTAATCTCAACATAGAATGATTTCAATGACCCTTTAATATGTTGCCGGGGGCATGATTCTGAACAACTTTTTCATTATGCATAATTAACGGAAAGCTTTATAGTTTTCGAGATATTCGTAAAAAACTATTGTTACTACTACATTGAATTCTACGTATACCCGCGTACTTACCTCTGGCGGTGTATGGGTCAGCATGCACTCGCCGATTCTCTACTGTTTCTTATACACATATCGCATCGACCGAAATTCAGTTTACATATTGTATAATAACTATTGTTATAGCAAAAACCTTATTTCTTGGCGTTACTTTGAAAGGAATGTACCGATCGCGATAAAAGCTTTCACATTTAATAGGAGATGTTTCCACGATGATCCCACTTGCAAAAATTTATGGAATTTGTTATCGTTAATAACTATCGTTATTGCAATTAACCAATAAGAACAATAAACCACCTTACGGCATCCTACAAATACTGTTCGTTCCACTAAAAAGTGTGAAATAAAATAATTTTTAACAAAAAATATAACCGACTTCAAGGGGGGTCAGGTGACGATAGCTATAGAGGCAGTACGTGTCGGAGAGAAGTGAAACAAAATCAATCAATTCCGAAGGAAAATCTGAACGGATAGAGGTGCAATAAATACCGCTGGAAAGAGGAAAAACCAAAGAACACAGGTGTATAAAGGCATCAAAAAAGTACACAGAAACAAGTTGCTTAAAAGAAATGAAACTGGCGAAAGAGGTAAGAGGTTAGATTGACTAATGAGCTACGTGGAAAAAGTCGATATTGTAGATTAATAAACGACGTGGAATAATACGTCGATAAATGTAGATCGATTTGATGATAAACTGATAAGATAAAGAAAAACGAAGGTAGCGACATCTAGAGGCAGATCAGAGCGGCATAGAAGCAAACACAGAGAGAGAAAAACATAGATAAGTAAGACAGGAAAGACGGAGAGCCCAAAGGATTCTGGAAAAAGAGGAAGGCCGACTTTAGCTGAACAGCTTGGGAAGTATAGGTCGGGCAGCCAAAGATCACTGCTGGACTCTTTTAAAAGAAAAAGAGAAGAAGAAGAAGCAGAAGAAGAAAGAAGAAGAGTGGAGAAAGAACTGATAGAAAATTTCCAAAAAGCAAGAAGAGTAGGAAGATCACCACCGCAAGAAGCTACGGAAGGGGAAGGAACAGAAGGCGAACTTAAAGATATAAAAATTAGACAGATTGAAATTAGAAAGATTAGACAGATTGACTGAGCTGGTACTGACAGTGAAGAAGGACACACAAGATATTAAGAAAGAAAACGAATCCATAAATAAGGAAATAAGAGAACTAAAAGAAGAATGGAAAAGAAAGCAAGAAGCGTGGAAGCGAGAAAAAGAAGAAATACAGAACAGAATTAAAATTCTAGAAACTAAAAGAGATAAGGCGGACGAATTAATTGAAAGAATAAACCGTATAGAGCGAAAAGAGGAGGCAAGAGAAAAAAGGGAGAAACGAAACAATATCACACTGAAAGGAGAAGAACTACCAAGAGGCGAAACACCGAAAGATACAGCAGAAAAGGTAATATCCTTGCAGGTCCTTGCAGGTGAAGGTGGAAATAGAGGATGCTTTCTGGACGAGAAAGGGAGAGAGAGGGAGTATTTTAATATGGAAAGTAGGTATAATTAGCCCTATATTTAAGAAGGGAGATAGGGATGATGTAAAGAATTACAGAGAGATAACGCTACTAAATACGGCATACAAGATATACGCGATGATTCTAGAGAACAGATTAAGTGCAGAACTAGAGGAAAAGAAAATCATACCAGAGACGCAAGCAGGCTTCAGAAAAGGAAGAAGCACAATGGACAACATTTTTATTCTAAACTACGTGGTAAACAGAGAAATCAAAGAAAAAGGAGGAAAGCTATATGCTTTCTTCGCAGATCTAACAGCGGCTTTCGATAAAGTAAACAGAGAATAGGATAAGAGTTAATGGGAAAGTATCTGAAAAGTTTTGGACAACGAAAGGATTAAGGCAAGGATGTCCACTAAGCCCTACCTTATTCTCGTTATACACGGCGGACCTTGAAGAGAAATTGAGAGAAGGACAAGCAGGAGGAATGGTGATCGGAAAAGAGAAGTTTTGGTCACTGTCGTACGCAGATGACATCGTACTATTAGCAACACATCCGCAGGACTTAAAGGAAATGATAAACAGAATGAAAAGATACTTTGAAAGAAGAGAGTTAATGCTAAACGCTGGAAAGTCGAAGATAATAATTTTCAAGAAAGGAAGAAGTCAGAAGAAAAAGGAGATATAAAAATGGGGAGAAGAAGAATTAGAAGAAGTAAAAGACTTCAAATACCTAGGGTATCACTTCCAGAAAAATGGAGGAACGGAGATGCACTGGAGAGAAACAGCGAAAAAGGCGATGATAGTGATGAAGCAAACATGGGGAATAGGAGAAAGGAGATTCAAAAACAACTTTGAAAGAAGGATGAAGATCTACAGAAGTTTGGTGAAAAGCGTTATGATGTATGCAGCAGATATATGGGGATGGAGCGAATCGGAGAGACTTGAAAAACTACATACAAAGTACATAAAATGGGTATTAGGATTGGACTTCAATACACCAACATATATAGTAATGGACGAAACAAAGGAGGACAAAATAAGAATAGAAGCAGGCAGGAGAGCGGTGAGATACGAAGAAAAAACAAGGACGAAAGGAATTAACAAGTTAATACTAGAATGCTGGAAAGAGGTAGATACAAAATGCGAGAGGAAAAGATCGAAATGGGAAGAACAGAGAAGACAATACTACGAAGAGAAAGGAATAGAAATAAAGGATGTCAAAGGTAAATGCACGGGAGACCTGACGCTAGCAGAAAATCTATCACAATTAGACAGAGCAGAGCAGTGCCAAACATTTTATGACAGAATAGTAATAGGAAGGTATAACGGAAAATACAGAGGGATAAGGGAGGAAAACCGAGCTTACTATCTGAAAGAAGAATACAAAGGAAGGGACCAGTCAATGATTGCAAGGTTCAGATGTGGGAATGAAGAAAGAGGCAACAGATACTGGAAAAAGAAAGAGGACAACGTCTGTAGAATGTGTGGATTAGGAGAGGACACAATAGAACACTTGTTAAAAGAATGTAGGGAAGTAGAAAGGGATAATGATTTAACAAGGTAGAATATTTTGCAGGGTCAAGAGAAGGGGAGAAAATGGATGAGGGAAATAATTCGAAGAAGGAAGGAGATAGACCTGGGACGGAAGACCTGAAGATCACGGACGTTATTGTATTAAACTTAATGTACATATCTTATAAAATATTGTAGGCGCACTCACGTGCCAAACCCCCTTTCAAAGCCGAAAGGCAAGAAATAAAGCTATCTATTTATCTATAACCGACTTCAAAATGCGCTAAAAAGTGTAAAATAACTTATACTTCATTTGTACAACAAAATGCACTAAAAAGTATGAAATAATTTCTATTTCATTTATACAAATACCCAACAGCTATTAATTGTAAGCGTTTGGTAGAGGGGGAGAGAGGGTTTCGTCTCCCCGGACGCCTTTAGTTCGGGGCAGGGACCGCTAGGTGGCGGCGAGATGATCGGTGACAGTGTTCTCGCAAGCTGTCGCCCGGACCTACCTGAACCTGGCACCCAACTTTGAAAAATTCAATTTCTTCAAATTGTATTGTATTCCCCTTCGTTTGTACCCGTTTGTACCACCTTCACTTTCGTTTGTACCCCAAAGAGTTCGTTTGTACCGATTTTTGAAACTGACCCGAAGGGGTAACTTTGCCATTTTTGAAGATAATTCACATTTAAGTGGTCATTTCGATGTTTTAAACTAATGTGGAATAAGTTTTATTTCATGATATTTTCTTTTATGGCATGTTACCAAAAAATAAAACAATTTTTCATAATCACACTAGGTATGATTTAATATGATAGTTTTGATATTTTAACATTTTAATTTTTCGTTTAAGTTCCTTATAACAATTTTCTTTTTACTTTTATATTAGTATCTTTTAGAATGATTAAATAGGAATAGAAACACATAATTTGAGCCCAACTTATAGGTAGTCAATGGGAAAATTAATTGCTCTATATTGCTTTTTATTTAATAAGGTCGTTTATAAATACCGCAGAATTAATTACCTCATTGTTTTGTATTCGACTATCACTGAATATAATGAAGAAAGTGATTTTTCGCATACTTTACTAATGCTACTTTAATAACTGGTGCTAATTGCAATGACAATAAAAAAACTAAAAATAAATTTTTGAATATTCTTCAATGATACATTTTCGTCCAAGCATTTTTCTTTTATAAACATTTACGTGCGTAGAATTACTCGTGATTAATTGAAATTATTTGAATTAGAGTCTGAACAACGCGCTGAAATTTTGAAAGAACATTATATTTGAATTATTTCTGTATAATGAGAAATATGCAATTAAAAATGAAATAAACTTACCAATTATTTATGGTTAAATAAATTTCATAGAAATATGATTTAAGATCTGAAATTTTTTACCAATAGTGTACATATCATAAAACGTAATTCTGACTTTTGATCAGTAATATAAATACATGTACAAATTCTAAATTATGAAAAAAAGGTTTAGAATTTTAGTTACGTAAAGAAATTCAATGGTATTATACAAATAATGAAATGAACAACATCGAAATATTGAATAATAAGGTATTGAAATATTTCGTGCAAAATACAAAAAAAAAGAAACAAAATACATTGTGAACATATTTACGACCAGTCATATATGTACATATATATATATAACATAATTACGCATTCTATTTTATGATCAGCAGTACTTGCCAATTTTTATTATCAACAACATGAACGATCCCGGCCTTGAATTATTTGCAATTACTTGTTACGCTCTTTTCTTTTTGCAATGCATATGTTAAAATATTCATTCATTTGTCGTGTTTCTTTAAGAACGGTGATTGAAATTAGGATCTGAATACGATCAGACGTAATGATCGTTTCTGTCATGTTATTCAACTTGTGTCATTATCATAATTGATATATTATTCAGAGGTTTCGTAAATATTTCACAGACACCTGATTCCTTCACAAGACCGTGAAAAGTTCAGCATCGATGACCTGCGGTGTCATTTACGCTACCTTACAAAACTATTATTTATGGAAATTTACGTAGAACATTGCCACGATAACTACATAACGTGAATATGCAAAATTTATTTGTTTATTACTTCGTCGTCGTTATTATTAAACATATAACTGTAAAATAACAGAGTTCGCTGAGAAAACAGTGACATTTTAAAATTTAATTTTATATTTTATATTATTTTTATTTTCTAAACTTTACACTAGGTATTCCATAAAATTATTAATTTTCTAATATACAATAGGTAATATTTGTAATATAAAAACAACATTTCCATTAAATATTTCTGCTAAAACAAGATCATTTCAATCTTGTCATCGAACCTTCGAGGGCCTCTTATCGTTAGTTAATAAACTTGGTTAGAAAATTCAAATTTATTCTAAATAAAATTAAATAACTTTGAATGTAAAGAAAAAGGATAACGGTAGGAAATATGTTTTATTGTTAGTATAGTAAATTAACGCCTATGACCGGGTCCCGTTTAATTCGGCGCTGCTTCTTCGATATTAATTTTGAAAACATGTGTAAGAATAAATAATTTTTGAGAATCTTTTTATATGAAAGACATTAGATATTTTCAATATTCCCATTAAATATTTTATTTATCTATATAAAAACTCTTTCATTTCGTAAGATTAGATCACGATTGATCTAACATTCGGTGATCAAGGGTTAATTGAGTTGAAATTTCATTTACTTTCATTTAACAATACAGTTTGCAAATATAACGCTTCTTTTATCAATCAGTGTTATAATAAATTTATTATTTAGATGGAAAAATAATACTTGATAAAAAAGGAAATAATTAATGAATTAACCGAGTAATGTAAATAGAATTTAATTACATGCATTCATGACTCATGTACTGTAATATTATATAATTATAGCTTGATCATAGAGTGATTATGAGAATGCACAAAAAGCAAATATTGTGTAATAGCCACAAATATAAAATGTTATGTAGACGAAATACCTACACGGTAAATTATAAACAAATAGTAAAATGAAATTCGTATTTTATAAGAATTTTAACATAGAATTTTTGTTCTACATTTTTAATTTTATACTTCAATTTATTTATTCATTAAATTGTTTAAAAAATGAATTTTAATTTTATAATTATTATTTTTCAGGTTTCTGTATCGTGCTGTTACAGCAGAATTAGAAACGAAAAGCCATCGTCGGAACAATATGACTGTTACAAAGGTTTTCCGAAAAAGGGTGGAACATTACCCTAATAAACCTTGTTTCTTCTTTGAGGATCGCGTTTGGACGAACGCTGACGTAAGTACAAAATTAAAAGAAAGATAATTTTTAATTTTATGGAAAATTAACAGTATATTTAAAGTTGAAAATTCTGGAAAGTTGAAAGTTGTATGTCTGTCAGCTATATTTTCAAGCATTTGAAATTGTAGAAAGGGTGATAAGATTTTATCAAAATTGTGTCACTTATGAATACATATGTATAGGCTTCGGCGTAACGAGGTAAGGGCCAGGGTGGGCCTGGCACTCCCAAAAATGTGGATTGGCCCTTCCGCCATTTTAAAATTTCAAGATTTCGAAATATCAGAAGTCCAAAATTTCTATAGGATCTAGCTAGTTCCAAAAAAAATTCTAGTTATGCCAATGAGTACAGGCAATTTCGAAGTTTAGTTACAAAGCAATATTCAGCTTCAAATTATTTGTCTTCAGTAATTAAGCAATTTGTTGACATTTTTTGTTAATAAAAACGAGAATCTATTAATAGCAATGTCATGAATTAACATTTTACATGCTCATAAATTTCTTTCTCTAAACAAATTCAGACATCCAAAATATTCAAATATTTTTTTTAATATTCCTTAATAATTTCATAACTAAACCAATTCAAAACATTATTTTTACTAACAATTTCAGAATGTCTTTCAATTATTATTCAGAAACATCAAAATATACTTGTTAGTAGTATTCATACAAGATTCGTAAAGAATGATAAGAAAATTAATAAAGTACTATTTATATTCAGAAAACAAAGCTGATATAAATTTGAGATTTATTTATTTCAAGTCGAATGAAACGTAGAAACGAATTGTATGTTTGTTTACATTTAAATGAGAAAAATATTGAGAAATAATGGATAAAAATTTAAACTTCCAGATTAACAAATATAGCAACCAGATAGCCTCTGTGTTTCAAAAAGCTGGTTACGTAAAAGGAGATGCAGTGGCATTAATGATGCCAAACAGGCCGGAATATGTTGCTATCTGGCTTGGTCTTGGAAAACTCGGCGTTGTCACTGCTCTAATTAACACGAATTTACGACTTCAATCTTTGATTCATTGCGTTCGTATCGCCGAAGTGAAGAGTATCATTTATGTGGAAGACTACTCGTCCGGTAAATATGACACTTAATTATTGCAGCCGCGTGTAGGAAAGATATGAAAGAGGGGAAAGCATTGTGAAGAAATATTATTTTCTTTACTTTTTCCATTTCAAAATGGAATTTTTTGTTTGTAACTTGTTTCGTTACTGATGCGTCAACTGCCTCAGTAAAAAGTTAATAAAAGTATTAACATTCTATCACTGTACTTGTAGATTTATTATTTAATTTAAATGAATTCGTAGAGCCGGTCATCGATGACCTCTATAGAAGCAACATTTCAGAGGACATGATTGGTTAATTTTTAGACTTTAATTTAAAATTTGGTACTTTTCAATATTAGTATGGTAGAAACTAATATTATTTCAAATTTATCTATTCTTTTTTGCTTACTATTTATTCGATTAACAAAATTTGAGCTTTCGGTCATCAGTGACCCTTATGGCCAAGACTGGGTTAAGATTTCTACGCCTCGGAGCTATTAAACCTTCGAAAGCCCTCTTGGTTGATATACTTTCATTCAAAAATTGAAATTTATTTTGAACAAAATTAAATGACATTTGATTGTAAAAAAAAGATGAATTGTTAGAAAAAAGCTACTCCGATTTCGATGATTTTTAAACATGTTGTAAAATTCGTCATTTTAAACAACTTTGTAGAAAAGGGGAGAAAAAGGTGTTTCGTCTCGGGATCGTCCGTCAGACTCGTCAGTGGAGCTGACAACAGACGATCCCTGCCCCAGACACCTATCGTATCGCAGTTCGGAACTTCTATACATACAGTGTGTCCCACCTTAAGTGTTATAATTCCGTTATTCCGTTACTATTAATGATACAAAAAATTGTTGATATGGAAATTGTACGGTAAAAGGGGGCCTATGTTTTGGCCGAAGTGAAAAATCTTTTGCATTATTAGTTTAAGAGATATGACGGTCAAGTTTCGTTTTTCAAATGGAACTATATATTTTTTTTTAGTTCATGTGATAGTGCTTCTCAAGACGAATTTATTAAGCTTTAATGTATACACTCGATTTTAATTAGTTTTCAAGATATAACGTTTACAAATTTCCCGATTTTCAGTAGATGCGTCTCGGTTTGAGTGGCAAGTTGTAAAAGCGGCCCTACTGTTGCGGTAAGTGTCATAGCGGGGGTCTACGCTAGGAACGGCAGACCCAAAGAATAACCGCTGTGACACTTACCGCAACAATAGGGCCGCTTTTACGACTTGCTACTCAAACCGGGACGCATCTACTGAAAATCGGGAAATTTGTAAACGTTATATCTTGAAAACTAATTAAAATCGAGTGTATATATTAAAGCTTAATAAATTCGTCTTGAGAAGCACTATCACATCAACTAAAAAAAAATATATAGTTCCATTTGAAAAACGAAACTTGACCATCATATCTCTTAAACTAATAATGCAAAAGATTTTTCACTTAGGCCAAAACATAGGCCCCCTTTTACCGTGCAATTCCCACATCAACAATTTTTTGTATCATTAATAGTTACGGAATAACGGAATTATAACACTTAAGGTGGGACACACTGTATATTCGAACTGCACGCCGGGAGACCTGGCGGTCCCCGGCCCGAACTAAAGGCGTCCGGGGATACGAAACCCTCTCTCCCCCTCCACTAAACGTCTACAACTTATTTTCCCTAATTGTAAACTAACTAATGAGTAATACTACTACATTGAATTTCGCTTGTATGTACATACATACACAAAGTTTCACCGAATCTGTCACCGAATCAGTATTGTGGCGCTTCTCTCCTTCTCTTCTTTTTATCAAAATTAAAACAATTTAAAGAGAATTTGTGTATATGCAAATTCAAATATGGAAAATAAATTAGGGATACTTATTTATAAACAATGGAATTGATCCTGTTAATAAATAAAATCGAATGTTTTCTCAAGAATTAGAATTGCTAAATATAACGATAAGAGTGCCGATATGTATGTCCGAGAAAATGTAAGGGATTTCAATTTTAAATGTCGAACTCTACGCGTCGACTCGATTTGAAGGTTTCGTAATCTTTGCAAATCTTCGCTAACTCCTTCTTAAACCAATTTTGTTCCCACCGTCTCTCACTCAGAATCAATATACAGCACAATATTTATTACAATACATTTACAAAAACAACAGATTGTTTGAACAAAATTAAATTACATATATTAATTATGTAGTTATACATACATAGTATTTTTCTATTCAAGAAACTTATTTAAAAAACAGTTTACAATTACGAATATTCGATATAAAATTTTATGTAACGGGTTTACAATATAATGCAACGAATGTTTAAAAGAGTAAAATTAATATTTCTTCAATTTCATTGATCAAATAATCATCAAACTTTCATACTGTATTATATAAAACAGAAGGGTCTAAAAATAGGACCCTAATGTTTTAATTTGAAAAACAATTGAAGTCATCTATAAAAATTATTTAAAAAAAAAGAAAATAGCTTTTGTGCTAATAAATATTATCGTTTTCTTTTTATTTTTTGCGTGCCTTCTTTAAATGATGTATTAAAATAACAGAAATATTTTAATAAAAACATTTTTATTTATGAAAAATTGAAGTATTAATTATGTAAAATTAAATGAATATAAAATATTGAATTTTCTTTTTCAGCCATCAATGATATTAAAGATTCGATTCATGGCATCGACAGATACAAAGTGTGCTTCAAATCCGAAACCCATGAAGATGGTGCGATCGATTTGAACAAACTTTTATCAGAAGCCAGCACAGAAGAACCAGTGGTCAAAGATGAACCTGGATACAGAGACAAATTATTGTACATTTATACCAGCGGCACCACTGGCCTACCAAAAGTGGCTATAGTACTAAATTCAAGGTAAACAAAGTTCCTTTTCTTTTAATGCGACCATAAAATCCATACAATTCCTAAACTGATCATAAACTAACAATAAGCGATTTGAGACACTTCTGAATGAAATAGAGAGGTTCAATGCAATACCCTTTTCATTCTTAATCATCGAACAATGAATGCCGGATCAAAGAGTGACCCAGACCTACGAAATGTATACATAGGTACATATGTATATAAGAAGTGCTTTGATTAAAATTGGGCACCAGAATTTTGCAAAAATAATATTTAAAGGAGTATTTTACAGTTTAGAAAATGAAAATCAAAGAGAATAAAAGGGTTTTTTAAACATAATATTTTTGCTAAACCAAGACCAGTTTTTTAATATTAATTTTGGAAACATGTGTAAAAATAAACAATTCGGGGCAAATTTTCTACAACATATTTCCAATATTTGTTAATCGTCTAACTCAATGTCTAACTCAATAACCCACCCATCCCTACTTATCTTTTTTTTTAAATAGTCTAAATCTATTGCAGTAAATGAGTATAAACGGTATTATTACTTTGATAAAAGGTAAATATAGCGTTTCAGGAAATATTTTTGAAATAGATAGTAATTATTGAAATCTTTTTATAACTTAATTGTAAGATTTAAATAACCATTATTTCATTCATGTGTTTGAATAATAGGTACTTTATTTGAAATTAATAGGAATATAATGATTTTAAACAATGTCATTTTATATTCAAGCATTCCTTAACACTGCTTTATTTTTAACATTGAACTTCAACCATACCATATAGTCAAGGTTGACTATATCACCGTAGTTTACAAAAGTTAATTCATTATGTACGAATATTGATTATCAGATGTAGGTCATTCTTAAACGACAAATTAAAACGACATACCTCTGGAAAATTCGAAGCTGATCAATAATTCTCCTGTAAAATAGCAATATATAAATAATAATAATACACTCAATACTAGTGCACTGTTTTAAAATTATACCAGTAATGCCTGCCCATTCCATAATTAATTAAAATCATAATTAAAAGAAAAATATAAAAAACTGCTTCAAAGCAAACAATTTTGGTATAATTCAAAAGAAATGAAATTACTTACACAGAATAAGAAATACGTAAAAAATTATATGTGCTCAATTAATTAATTGTCATTTGAAAGAATTAAGCAGGAATTTATCTAGAGCTTAATACCATTAAAATTTGTAAAATTTTCAAATGTTTTATGTTTCTTTTAAAGTATTTTAAGCATTAAGTTAAGAAAACATGTTTGTTAATTGTTCATTATTTAACAATATAGTGTTGTTATTCTAAATTACACACAAAAAAAGAAAGATATTGATTAATAGCAGTTGAAGAGTGCAAGTAATAAGATCAAGATATTTTCAGACAATATTTAAAATAATTAAAATAATTTTTCGATATCTAAATTATTTATTATATTAAATATTGTTATAGAAAGTCGTGGATAAATATATTCAAAATTAACAAAGTAAGATATATTTGCAACTCTTTATACATAAATATATAATATATAGTATCATCGTCAGATTTGATAACAGGAACCGATAAACTTTCTCCAATTAACAAATTGTTCTAACAAAATCTAAAATAAGTATAATTTACGTATTTTTGCAAATAATTTAAAAGCTTTTTTAAAGCAAAACTGGTTTTGCAACAGTTCTATGATTTTTCAACCCTTTTTAATTGACGAATAATTTGTTGCCAAAGTCTAATTTGTTACTTAAATTCATTATTAAAAAAACAACGGACTTACAATTAGAATGACGAACAATTTCAGAACAGTTTATTTATTCCATGAATCCGAATGAATTATCTAGCTGCTGAACGTATAAATGATCTGTAATCCTCTCAGGAAAGCCTTACGACTCGTTCAGAATGAGATTACATGTAAATGTAGTCTCTGCAAACGTGTCTGCATCCTGTCTGCCTGCATTATGTCTGTTTTTTACTGATAACATAGTATCCTTATCCTAACTAACAACTTCTGTTTTGCGTCAGTGTAATAATTTCACTCCTTTCACAATTAAATAAAAACATTTCCTTATTTTCTCACATATTTTAGATTCTACAAATAACACTTTCAAGTCGGAGATTTAGTTTTTCAAACTATGTCAAAAGGTTAAATCATAATTAATAGAATAATTGAAGACACGAGTGAATAAAGGTGCCATGTAACAATTTTTCGAAAACCAATCACATCTATAAAGTATATACATCTATAAAGTATATAGTAATCACATCTATAAAGTAGCACTATATTGTTTTGTCTATGTATAATGCTATCGGATTTTCGAAAGACAATAAATTCGTTTACATATCTTTTAAAAAATCAAAAAATATTTAATTTTTTTTTTTTTAGTTTAAAAGAGAAAACACAGCTCTTTTATTATTACCGTCAATAAAAACATAAATTCATAGTTGTCTAACCATTATTCGTTAACTGAAGAAATAAGATGCAAATTAATAACTTGCCTTGAGTAATTAATAATTAATTTGTGACATGTCACCTTATCCACTCAATTGTAATATTGATTATTCTAGATTCACACACTTTTACATCATTACCAAATCAAATTCTGCATTATGCGATTACGGTAATACATACATTTACATCTGTTAAGCGTGTTTTACTAAATCCTCATATTCGAATAAAGCATTTTATTATAAATGACAATAAGTAAAAAAAATTTCACATCGAAGCATATGATTTTTCAATAATATTAGCTTTTATCATAATAACACTTAATGAAACTGTTATACATAAAATAATTTATATTTCGTTTATACAACTACGTAACAATTATTAACAAAATCTCTTGCTGCATTACTATTTCATTTCATTTATACCAATACTTCACAGCTATTAATAAAACCTATTTAATCGTTTAATAGTATACTAAATACATTTCAACCTTTCCCAAAGTCGGTTAAAAAGAAAAAGAACGTAGAACATTAAATGTAGTTAAATGAAATATTTATTATAGTCCATTATTGACAAAAATGTTGTCAGAGTGTTACCGGTTGCAGTAGTATATTATTCAAATTTTTGCATTAATCATTATACACATATACACAAAAAAATAAAAGATTTGACACAAATATGATAAAAGATTATTAATTGGCGCTTATCTGAATTGAGAATTGGAATTTATAGAATATTAATAAATAATCCAATAGGAAAAGATGAGAAAATGTCGCGAACTTAGTTGGGAAGGGGTGAAATGAATAAAAGTACATAAGTACGCTCTTTTTTATAAGATTTAAAATTTGCTTGCAATCTTTATTTTAATATCTGCTAAGGTATGTATCTAAAAAGTTTTTCAGAATGTGTCTTAATATTTTTATACATTTTATTACTCTTAGGGGTAATAAAATGTATTAACAGTATCCTATTCATAGTGTGTAATATTGACATGTAAAGAGAATAATTTTTGTTTTTCCAGGTATTTGCTGGTCGTAATGCCGTTTAATTTACTAGGAATAAGATCTAGCGATATCCTGTACAATCCAAATCCATTGTACCATACCACTGGTGGAATGATTGGAGCAGGTTTCGCAATTCTCAAAGGTATACCAACTGTGTTGAGGCCCAAGTTTTCAGTGTCGGCTTATTGGACAGACTGCATCAAGTATAATTGTACAGTAGGTGGTTTACAAATTTTATAACAATCTCATTGAAATCATCAGATCATTCCATAAGCAGTGTTGCTTTTCATGAGTAACTTTAACTTTAATACATTAACACAGCGGCCCGATATAATAATTATCCGATAGAGAGGATCAAAAAGATTAATAATAAATGTAATTTTCTTCAATTTTGGTTTATTCCCGACAACAATTTTTAAAATTTTCCAAAATATTCCGGTATTTATTGGAAAAAGAAGGTTTCTAATTTTTTAATAGGGCGTCAGCTGGCTTTTCTGACCCCTGCCCGCAGTCGTGTTACTGCGTTAACATGTTGATTGCCATAATAGAAATATGTAATCGTATCTAGTAAGGCGCACTATAATACGAATTTATTATTCTTATATGTAACTACTGTAAGGGTCATTGGTAAACGGCATAATTCTCCAACAGAGGGGTCGAAACAGTTTTGTTCATACTTCATTAACATCATGATCATATTAAGTTTAATTTTCTGCATTTTTGTTTACACTCAGCATTATCTGAAAATTTCGAAAATATTCCAATATTATTTTTTTTGCATAAAAAAAAAGTTTTTAATTGCTTAATAAGAAGGTCAGCTGACCTTTCTGATCCACCGTAATTGCGCTATTGAAACGTATAATTAGTAAAAGGAAAGAGGAGACAAATTTTGAATAGCGTTAATTGATAACAAAATTTATTTGAATTAATTATAACCGAATATTAGTGAAAGGAGAGGTATACTTTAAATAGTATTAATATTAAATAAAATACTAAAAATTTAATTTGGAACATTAACCGATCCTCGCAAATAATGAAAACACAAAAAATTCAAGTAAATTTTTTCTACAGTTAACACATGTCATACTAACTACGAAAGGAACACATGTCATACTAACTACGACAGTGGAAAACAATTTGAAAAATGAAACGATCGTATACTGAGCGATTGTATCTAATTATAACGTGTCTGACTATACATAGCCTTCTCTACTGTGGTATTAAACGTGTTCATTTGATGTTTTAATGTAATATTTTGATTTGCTATTTCAAATTAACAGTATGATTTTATTGTTAGTAACACTTATAATTGCTTTACTCTTTGATTTCCTTAATTAGTTAATTGAAATTAATTCGCATTTTTGGTCATTGATGACCTTTATCTTACCACAGTGAAAATGAACATCTGCAGTAAAACACACTAAAACACTAATTATTCGAAATATAATTAATTTATTCAGTTTATCATTTTACATTATTAATCCTTTGTAGTGTCATTTCTTGTTGAATTTTGAAAAGAAATACACCGTTCAACAATAAAGAATATTTTTTTTATTGAAGAGTAACTATAATGACAAAAGATAAATTATAAGATAAAAAATACAAAAATTTCGTGACATTATTTTGTGTAACAAAACAACGCGATGCAGTGAAGGATTAATAATAGTACATACCGCAAAACAATTAAGGGATCATCTTTCGGAACCCAAAAAATAGGGCGAGTTTCAGATGGTTATAGCTCCGACAAAAATGGTCTGATCGATATCTTTAGATACCCTTTTAAGATTCTAGCTATGTATATTGCTTTTTCGAAAAATTATAGTTATATAAGTGGTACTTAGAAAATTTTTTAAAATTTTATTCAACTATGTAATGTTGCATGAAGTGAACATAATTTTTTAACAAGTTATATTTATACCAGTCGAAAGGGATTACCTTTCTCTGTAAAATCAGTACCTATCTGTTGATTATTGTACGATTTTTTTTTTGGCCAAGTTATTCAACTTTGAAGTAAAAGTCGTCGTTTTGACTCTAACTGCCCCTAGAAAGCAAAGAAATCATCGCAGAACATTCAATGAGAAAGCAATAGAAAGAACAGACTTTTCTCTTTAACGATAAGATGCATCTCTTGGTTTCTCAATTTGATAAACATTTTGATGTACCCGCTTTTTTTGGCGATATGCTTCAAACTCATATAATTTCCATTTTATCTTTAACTCGCTGCATCTCACCAAAGATGGTCGTCACCAATCATGATCTTAAGTTCATTTTAAAGTCGAGAATTTGCCGATTCCATTGGGACTCAAGCGAATGCATTGTGACAATGTTTTACCCGTTTTGACCACTGCGTTCAAAATTGCAGGTTTGTATAAAATAAAGCTTCAGCGTTAATTTCCCGTAATGTCGTTCCGTTCAAGCGGACTTCTAGCGCAAACCTGTCTAACCTGCGGCCCGCGGGCACGCAGCTCACGCTCGGCTCCCCCCACTCTTTCAGTTGGTTTCCTGACCCTTCTTCTTCTTCTTCTTCTTCATAGTTCCCCTCTGTTAGCAAATTTAAGGGTGCATTTCGCGCCTCTTGTTCATCTGCAAGGGTAGCGTACTCTGGGAACTCTGGTTCCCTTTTGCCCACCGAAAATTAGCAACCGTGACAAACTTCCCGACTCTTCCAATATCTGACGCGTATTCCTAGTCCTAGCCGCTAGAAACCGCTGCCCCACTACTGACACCACTGGATGGTGGGGGAAGTCTGAAGCGGTAAGAGTGGGAGCAGCGGCTCTTTCGCTTCTAGCAGTTACACAGCGATTGATCTAGCGAATCGGTAACTTTTCTAAGTATTACTTAAAATTTTCTAAGTACTACTTATACAACTATAACTTTTATAAAAAGCAAGATAGCTGGAATCCTAAAAAAGTATCTAAAAACAGAGATTTCACAGCTTCAAATGATCTTTTTACCATATCGATAACCATTTGAATCTCGCCCTATTTTTCAGGTTTGTAGAGGTGATCCCTTAATTGTTTTGCGGAGTGTATTTAAAATTCGTCTTCTCTTGCTGTTGATTATTTAATTATATAAAATTTTATATACACTGGTCACCAGTGATCTCTCCATGGAAATCAACGCGTTAATATCTTACCTTAACAATTTTCTGTTAATATTTTAATATCCTTAATCCAGTATAGGATCAAGAGGATGTCTAGGAATGAGGGTTGCAGCCCCAAGTTTCACTTGCCAAAAAATATTAACTGAAATTTTGTTTACTGTTGCCCTCTTTTTGCGATTAGATATTATTTAATTTGATCTAAAATAAATTTGAATTTTTAAATGAAATTTATCAACCAAGATGGCCGTTCAAGTCTTGCGCTTCAGAAATCGTAATCCGAACCTGCCTTAATCTAAAATTTGGTATCACCCCGTATTGCTATTTTTATACGAATTCGCATAGAAGCAATAAGTATAGCAAAAGAATGATTTGAATACTGCATTTAAATTAAACTAGTTGTGAAATAATTCAGGCAGGATACGTACCAACGAATTTCTAAACATTTACAATTACAAACAAGGTACATAAGATGACATTGCTTATGAAATGACTTGATCAAATGAATAATTTCTTTTTATTCTTTCTATTAACACATTCCATGCCGTCTGAAATTTAAATTGTGTGACAAACGCGTTTACAACTCACTTCAAAAATACTAACTCAATATTAATTTGATTATAAGAAAATTGCAATCATAATACATATATTATGTTTTCCATTTTTGCTTCAATGTTATACCTTTGTTACGAGCCAGGACTTAATTTCGGTTATGGTGTTATTAATGGCTTAACCAGTGCTGTTATTAACACTGGGAGCCTAAGGAAATAGACGCGGAGACGAACCTACTTATCGTGGGCGAACCTATGCATACAGTACAGTACAGTGTGTTCTAATATACCATATAAGTATTGAATGGTGTTTCCTTTAAATCCTATATAATAGTAATGCTACCAATTTCTTTTTTTCTGAATTATTTCATTATATGTATATTAGATTTGAGGTGTAGCAATGTACGGGCCACCAAAGATCCACCATGGTAGTCAACATGTTATTTAATTACAATAATAATTATTGAGGCAGTAAACAATGAAATGAACTATTTGATAACAACAAATCAAACTGTGCACTACATCAAACATGTTATTTCACACAATAATATAAAATTAGTAGATATTCTGTTCACAAATCTTCCAAGGTTTACAGATATTGCAAACTAATGCATTTAACTAAATTTTTGCCAAGAAAGCACAGTTGAACTGTAAACAGTTAATGATGAATTAGATATAACTTCATGACACTAATGATTCTGACGATTATAATTAACGTTGCTGATAGTGTAAATAACTTTGTTCATTGGTAATTTTACTTATTAGGCTGCGCAATTTGTCGGTGAAATGTGCCGTTACTTACTGAATGCGCCACCGAAACCGGAAGACAATGCACATAGATTAAGACTCATGTTTGGAAATGGCATGAGACCGCAAATTTGGAACGAGTTCGTCACGCGTTTCAACATTAAAAGAGTCGCTGAATTTTACGGGTCCAGCGAGGGAAATGCAAATATCGGTAAAATTAAAAATATTAATAGGAGTGTGCAAAAGTTTCCATTGACCATATATAAATAGCGTTACGAGGAATTTCGGTTAACTTTGTAATATATTTTGCTTAATTTGTATAAAAAATGGTATAAAAAGAGTCACATTTATTAGAATAACAATACCTTGAAAATTCATGTAAAAATAAAAATCCATAAGACACATATTCGTCATTGTATCTTTTTTTTTGTTTAATCAAGAGATAAAAAAATACAGCAATCAGGACAACTGCAAACTAATTTTAGTATAACAAGAGTATTAACGTATTAAACTATTAGTTATACCTATTAATAACTGTTTTATTTTCTACAAATTAGCTGCTGCATCAACAAAAATCATTTGCGAAGTTTATATAGTAATATATGTATAGTATTATTATAAATTTCTCAATAATTCGCTAATGACTGTTATCGCTATGACTGATAATAAAATATTATCATTAAAAATATTCTTTCAACTATAAAATATTAATAAAATAAATTGTTTTAAAAGGACAGTGGAAACGTTTGCACAATGCTAATAGTTACGTGCCTAGTTTGATATTTAACGTTTTATGTAAATCGGGATAAGAATGAATCTTGAATATTATTTCGTTAAACTCTGTATATCGTGCTGTTTTCTTTGAAACCTTCAACTCTTTGTGATAATACTATTTGGTGCTTTTATGTCGTATTGAGTTTCTTTGAGTCACAATATTCAAGTTGATAAATATTTTCTTCTTTTTAGTTTACGCCGAATTGAATTGTTTTTCAAAAATATTTAGTTCTCATTTTTGCATTTTGCATAATCTTATGAAACATTCAATCGCATTTTGTAATCCAAATTTTATTTTTTTTATTATAAATACGTTATTTCTTCATAATTTCGAATATTGATATCTACGAAAGTGAAATTTCACAAGATTTTCTAATATACTTTTACATTACAGCAAATCTGGATGGTAAAGCTGGTGCTGTCGGTTTTGTACCATTAATTATACCAAGAAGATTCCATCCGTTAGCAATTATTCGTGTAAATAGCGAAACTTACGAACCAATTAGAGGTCCAAATGGATTGTGCATCAGGGCAGAAACAAGTAAGAATTTCAAACAGTTATCTAACATTTTGTCAATGGATAATGAAAAAATGACATATTTTAAGTTAGCTTTACAGTACAAACAAAATACCTAAATATTTCTATTATTAGTAAAAATATGGAAAATGTTTATTTACGAATTATATGGTACCGAAGGAATCACAACATGACAGAAAACTTTATTTTTTAATAAAGTGGAGAATTTTATGTTAGGAGATTTTAAGATCAACCATGTATATAGATAACATGGAATTCGAACATGCTATAGCTCTAAAATGATCGAAGATAGAAAAAGATGTCGTTAGGAAAACTTAAATAATGTTGAATAGACCATTATCTGATGTATGTAAGTACATATTGGTTCCGCAAATGGAAGTTCCGGAGGCGTTCCACAGATTTCAAGATCAATTTCGTTTTCTTAAATGGAATTATATATTTTTCTATATGTCAATCGAAGTGAGTTTTAATTTTCTCCAAAAAAGTAATAAGGCCATTGGGTCAAAAATCGATTAGTTCAAAAGATATTTTAGGGAGAGACCGTGTGTTTCTCCGTGTTTCTCCCTAAAATATCTTTCAATCCAAGTGAGTACCCAGGGCCGGCGTGACCTTTTGCGGGGCCAAAATACACATTTAAATCCTATACTTAAATTTCACAATAAGGAATTATTTATTATAAGTACAAAGGATGTTACATATATTTCTTGTAAGATGAATATTACATAATTTTTCTCGCTTTTTTCGCCACAAAATCTTTGATTACATCATCAAAATTGATTGAGTTAGCTACTTCGCATTCTATCGAAAGAATAGCCAGGGATGTAAATCGGTCTTGGCTTATTGATGATCGAAGATGATTTTTTATTAGTTTCAACCGCGAGTTTCCGCGGGGCCATTCAAAACGCGAGGCCGGGTTCCGGCGAACGCGCTGAACCTGCCTCGCGCCGCCCCTGTGAGTACCTTAATATGTACTTTGCAATATTTTAAAATTTTACAGAAGAATACAAGACGAAATAAATTTTTTTTTTTAATGAAACTGCATATTGGTGGTGCCTCCTAATACTTTTTCACGCAGAGTACTCCAAAGAATCAACCTATGTAAAAAATATACGATACACTATTAAAAAAATATTGTATTGATTTTGAAATCATAAAAAATCCTCCATCTACACAAAAATGATCCTATGTTGTGGACTCTTTGATACCATGTAACTTTTTGAATAAACTTTTTAATAAAACCTAGCTAAAATATAATTACATCGCTTGTCATGTAATAATATTAATTTGAATAACACTAAGTTATTTTTTTTTATTCAGATGAGCCAGGGATGTTCATAGGACTAATAAAAGAAGGGAATGCCTTGAGAGAGTTCAATGGCTACCTAGATAAAGAAGCGTCAAAAAAAAAGATAATACAAGATGTGTTTGTTAAAGGTGATAAGGCTTTCCTGACAGGTAAGTTATATTTGAAAAATGATAAGAGAAACTGCAAATCATTACGAACTGTAAATACAAAATTCCATACATATATTATACAATCAAGCATTTTTGTATTTTTTCTTTTCGAAGAAGACTTACATATTTTATCGTTCTCTTTTGTAGGTGATATTTTGGTAGAGGATGAATGTGGTTATATTTATTTCAAAGACAGAGTAGGAGATACGTTTAGGTGGAAAGGTGAAAATGTCGCCACTGCCGAAGTGGAGGGTGTCATCAGCAATATTGCTGGACAACGAGATGCTACTGTTTATGGAGTTCAGGTGTGTAATTTTAAAAACAATATTATCTCAAATCAATATTATCTTAAATGTCAAACGGTGCATGGAGGGTCAATATGACTCAAACCACAAGAGCATATCACCTAAAATTAGATGTTTAAATTGTGTAATGAGACAGTATCTAAAGAAATAATTGCAAATTTACAAACATGAACAAAAATGAAAAGAAATCTAAAATGAAATTTAAATTATCACCATCTCAATGGGCCATAGTGGCAAGAAATTATTTTAAAAATTTCAATTTCTTTGACTATCCCTTAATGTGACTTCAAAGAACCGAGAATCCACTGCAAAAAGTAAAAAATTAATTTACCCACATGACTAATTATCAGTAAACGTATGTTAATGTTTTTCAAGGTACCTGGAATGGAAGGAAGGGCTGGAATGGCAGCGATAGTTGATCCAGACAGCCTTCTAGACTTCAAAGCCCTGGCGGAAGGATTGGAAAAAGCTTTGCCAGCCTATGCGAGACCAATATTCTTAAGAATCGTGAAGGAACTAGAAATGACAGGAACGTTTAAACTGAAGAAAGTGAACCTTCAAAAGGAAGGCTTCGATCCGAGTAAAGTTCAAGACAAGATGTACTTCTTGTCGGGTAACAAAGAGTACGTCGAGATCACACCTGAACTTTATAAAGAAATTATATCCGGAACGAGGAAGTTCTAGTCGTCGCGCACGATTTCAAGTGTCGAGGATATATGTAAAAGTTAGACGTGTAACGTAATGTTTCTTTTTTCTTTTTTTTTTTAAATATGAACATGACAAATTACATTGCGCCTTGTAGATACAACGCGTAAAGGGTTTTATAACATAACACATGCGATACCACAGAACATACATTTAGGCTGAAAGTTTGTCGAACTGTTGTAAGATTATTTTTATGATAAAAGGCCAGAAACAGGGAGCTTGTTGCGCAGAGAAGATTCTATTTCTGTCATCAAACGATCGGACAAATTTCGCCAATAGTTCTTCTGACATTGGGACGAGCGAATATGGTGACATGTTCCTGTATATTTTATAAATACTCTACATAGCGTAAGATTGGCACTGAAGGTAGAATTAGTTTGATTAAAGTCATTCTATAACAAATTTTGATCTTTTATAAAAAAAAAGGTACTTTATTTCATATTTAACCCTTTCATGTTCTATTTGCGATTATTCAAAAGGTTTTTTCTTCAAAAGAAGGAAAAAAAAGATAATGAATTGTCAATAGCATGTTTGCAGTATTTAGTTTAAATATACAAAACCTGTCACAATATCCAATATTGATTTTAACGAAACTTATTGTTTATATATACATATTTTTTAATTTGCACCTATCTCGGTTATTCTAGTATAAAATTACCAATGAAATCTAAGTAATGAACACAATAATTAAACATAATGCGATTAAGCTCAATTTATTATACTATTAAATGTAATCTAACTTCATAATCAAAAAAGATAACAGATAAATGTAACGTATACCTCTTAAAAGAAAAAAAAGATATTAGTGTTCGATGAAATACAGATTCACTTCCACTTTTAAAGGTATTTAAACATACCTAGTAGTTCTATGTACTTCATGTGTTTCGTCTTTACTAATGCACCATGTATATATTATTCTTATGCTAGATTTTAATAAAGATGTAGTTAGTTGTTTTTCAATAGTTTCTCAAATAATCCCGGTGATCAGACATAGATCATTGTTTGCCCAAGTGTTAAACTTGTACAGATAAATTAGTAACAATTACAATCTGTATTTTACAAAACTTTTTTCTTTTAATCTTGTTGTTAATTAGTTTACCATTTCAAAAATAGGCATCTAATGGAATACTATTGGGGATTTCACTTGTATTTTTATATTTAGCACTACTGCATAATTGTATTTTCATGTATAGTAAATTTGAAGATGTATTTTTAAAATTAATATTATTAGTCAAATTTCTCATTTTGGTTTTTCTCTAAATGATAAGAAAAAATAAAATTAAAAATTTGAGTAAATCAAGTTAAATTAAAAAGAAAGTTATAAAATACGATCTTTATAAAATTACCAATTTGATATTTATGAAATATCATTCTCCACTTGTAATGTATATGTTATTAATCAGTAAAACTAACGTAGGCTTATGTAAATAAATAATTATACTTTACACATGTGTAACAATTTGTTTTATTCCTTAACTGATCTATAATCTTACTGTATTGTTTTCAACATGTGAAATAATTTTTGTCATTAGTCTTTGGATATTTAACAATAAATGAAAGGAATTCCACTGAGCTGAAATATTTTTAGAATTTATTTAATTGATATAATTGCATCAACTTGAAATATCGAATATTGAAGTCTAAGTACAGTCTTACATTCACAAAATACTGTAATAAATAAGTAATAATCGATGAACAAAAATATTCGCGCTCTTAAATAATTTGCACATGAAAAATAAATGTTTTTTTTTTTTTTCATGTACATTTATCTATCTAAATGCGGTACAGCAATACGTCGATACTCTCCGCTTATAATTATAAATTTTTACTGTCAATATAATTTTATCATTATCATTAAAATAATTACACAAACTTCATAAAATAAATACCACAGATAAAAGACAATCATTTGACTCGGTTACTAGATACAAGTTAATGAATCATTCTTTCTAAAAAATCATTCTATTTTTCGTGTATTTTGATTACCACCTACAGAGACACTACTATGTTATTTACAAACATGAACATAATACAAATGCAATGTTCATATCACAAATAATAATTATGGCAATTATACATCTAGCTCCGTGACCAACGAAGCTTTTATTATTTATAACCGACCTGCAGCCATGTTTAAAGAATATTTGAACACTTCCAAAGAATCCTAAGTTGCTCACATCATAGAACGATGATGCAACAATTTAAATGATGTTAATGTACTTTAATTAAGCATACAATAGGTCAGGTAAAAAAATGCACGATAGAATAATTTTTATGTATAAAAGCATTACATCAGAAAATAAAAAATTAAACATACCTTTTAATGACCGAAGTCCTTGCTTTCATTTTATGATCGTATACATACATATAATAAATGGATTTAGATATAATTCTTGTGTATTGAATATTGCAAAGTTACGTATGTATAGTATTTGCATACGAAAACAACCACATATCGTGACTCACTTCTGAATCAATATTATGCATCTTGTCTCTTTATGCTCAATGTCATTACACACGATGAATGTTAAAGATTTTCCTTTTTATCCCCAACTTATAAATTTTTCTCTAAATAATATTTGATGCTACACAATAATATACTGCACGTTTTCGAAGCTCGCTATAGCTTTCGTGAATAAATTATATTATATATGTGTTTTATAAATGCTAAATATATTACAAAATTTATGAAACCTCTAGCTTATAAATCTTTCCTATCACTGTTTCCTTTGCTAATCTTTTTGATCATGTGCGATCAATTATCGACACAATCCAATTCTTCGACTTTAACCACGAATCAGTGGCCACTTTTATGATACCTATAGAAAAGGAAATTTGTTGCAGCTATCAGCTAGGCGGTATAGCTTTGGCAGTCTGTCCAAAACCTAAATTAGGCCGGGTACCGAACCATGACATTTTCCATTCCAAGGTTTCTTGCAACAATCGTTCCTCTTCCGGGGAGAAATGTAGAAGAGTGGCAACTGCTCTTGTCAAATGAAGAGCCTTACAAAGAAAAGGAAAAAGGAAAGTTAGTTTAAAATTTTTTAATTTTTGTGATAGCAAAATATATACATATGTGTATATGTATAAAAAAACTTCTGCTAAAACTTTTCAAGGACCAGAAAAGTAAAGGAGAGCAGAATAAATAATATTCTCCTTCTTGTGAAGTGAGTCATTGAATTTACCTCATATTCCCTACTTGTTAGGAACTTTATGAGAACATGTTTAAGATATTTGAAGTTAACGTCATCCTCTCTTGTAGTGGTGTGTCTGGCAGTGATTGTCTTTGACGAGCTAGGCTTGAGAATTGCAGCAGAAGGTTCAGCATCACTGTCCAGCGAAGAAGATGGGACTCTTAACTCTCGGTGAAGGGTCTTCTTCATGTCTGTTAGCCGTTGTTGTAAAACCTTAATTGTCTATACATACATTCAATGATTAGTGTCCTGTAAAATTCACCTCCATTCTTATTTCTTCATATTTTACCTTAGTCTTCTCGTTTAGTTGTTCCTCTAGGTCCAATAAACTACTTTTCAAAACTTTCTCACTTTTCTCCATTTTCTCTCTGTTTCGTTCTACTTCTTCTAATTCTAACATTCGCTTCTTAGTTTCTTCTAATGTTGCCATTGCTTGTTCAACTTCCTTGCTTTTATTCTGTAAATTATTTTCTAAAGTTTCTATCCTATTTTGTAACTCTGCATTTTCCACTTCTTGACGACGATTTTCCTGTTTCACAATTTCAATGTCCTGAGAAACCTGAGCGTTTCTCAATAAAGCAGAGTCCTTTTCACCTTTTTCCTTCTCTAAGCACACCCTTAAAGTTGCTGATGATGTTCGTTCTGATTCTAAGTCTTCTCTTAAGCGAGCTACCTCTAGGTGTAAGGAGGAATTATTTGTTCGTTCACCTTCCAGAGATAAACGAACGTGTGCTAATTCAGAAGTAATAGCTGTAAGCTTCGTCGTAGTTTCTGTTAGACTTTGCTTCAATTCAGAGATCTCCTTAGATGATGATTCCTGACAAAAAGAAAAGAAAATAAAACACGTGAGTGGTATCTAATACTGAAACTATCGAACACATAACTATAATTTTGTGTTGACAACACTCTGTGAGATGTGACCAGAGAACCCATATCTTTGGAATTTATGGTACAATTAAGGTTTGTCACTAAAAGATTAAAGCAAGATATAAAATGTGAAGTTAGTTGAAACATACATATGAGTAAAATGAACATGGAGCAATCATCATTACAATAAATATTATAATTCTTCGTATTGATATAAATAAATATTTACAAATTATTTTAATACCGTTTATATAGATAGCTCAATTAAGGCAGTAGGATTTAATGAAAAATTATTATTGATAAAACATTTCTGCATTCTGTCAAATAATCTCTTGTGCTTGAAATGAGCTACTACATAAATTTCTAATGGAAACACAAAGTAATGTTTCAAATATAATACCATGAATATAACAATTCAGATTGGAAATTAAAAAACAAAGTTGTGTTGTAACAGCAGTACTTGAATACAAAATTTTGGTTGTGCCATTAATTCCAAAGCTCGAACCTGCAACAGACTGTAATTGGTTTAGAACAACTTTTACTATACAACTGAATTTTCAATAAAACTTTCAATCCTTCTATTTAACCATTCTATTATAGTTTCTATTCTAAACAATGTACAATATGTTTCCTTTTAATTGTATCCGCCTGGACACACATTCCTAATATTTACAGCAACGTAAACATAATTGAACAGTGTCATTAGTGTAGTAAAATATAATGATTCGTTTAACCCTGTAAGAATCGTGTAGAAATTTGTGTTTATAATAAATATGTAAAAAGCCGCTTGAGAAAAGAGGGATATAAAAATGGGTATAAAAAAAATAAGCACAAAAACGAATACGATAAACGATGTAATTTATTATTATTTTTTTTTTATTATTATTATTTTTTATTCGACAAATAAAATATACAGAGATGCGACCGTACATAAAAATATCATTATGTCGATACTACCTAACTTTCATGTACAAAGGCACACAAGTGGAAATGTAGTAGGATTTTAAAGAGTTGACCCAATGTCATCTTTGTTTATTGGTACATGATACTGACTTAGATAAATTATAAAATGTACATTGTAAGTTTCTGCATGCTTATTAACGGTAAATAAAAAATTATAAACAAAAGAATGTGCTGATAAATATGCATAAAATAAATGTTCTGTGCGTCAAGCGTCAAGCATCTTAGAAAAAACATGCAAGTATACATAGGCGATATGTAGTTTTTTTTTCTACAAGTTTAACACACGATATTATTCTACGCGTTCGTGTACACGCGTTCCAGTGATTTTACACTCAACAACGTGTAACGTCAATAGCTTATAAAATCATTAAAATGTGTTCAAACAATTACGATAAACAGTTAGAGAAACCATGGTAAAAATAGAATACAAACATAACTTTTCATGATCACAGGTAATCTAATTCGAAACAAAATATATTATGTAAGATAAAAATACTCAATTTCTTGTTTTCAGTATACATATTGATATAAAAAAAAGAACAAAATTCAAAGCTTTGAAAGATTATTATTTAGTACTGTGATCATTAAAAAATTTGCCAGTTGATAAAAGAAGGAATGTTCATTTGTTTACATTTCAAGGTCTAACGGGACATCTTCTCCAAAATAATCTAAGTCATGCACGACTACATATCGCGGTAACTCACAATTTGCCGCTTAAACTCTTCCACCTCATCATCGACGCTGGCCCGGAGCTCTTTTAGTTCCGTGGCCATCTCGTCGATGTCCTCTGCCATGCGCAAAAGCTTGGCGTCTTTCGTCGCCATGACAACATTGTTCACCTCTATTTCAGCTTCTAGCTGCTTGATCCTTTGCTTCAATTTCTCACTTTCCTCTTCAACTCGTCTTCTCTCTAAACCTTCCTCACCAGCCTGTCTACTAAGCCTTCCAACTTGTGTTTCTAAACTGGATATTTTCCCTGACCAACTAGTCTTTATATCGGATAGATGAAGGTGTGCTTCCTCCAACTTCCTTTCTAACAATGCTCTTTCTCTCATCAGATCAGCTATTCTTTCATCAACAGTCACTTGATCATTAGTCTCTAAAGCAATTCTCTGTTCTAACACAAAAACTTTGTCCTTTAGATGACGAACTTCTTCTTCGGTTTGTGCTAGTTGACAGGAAAGTTGAGCTCTCTCTCGTTGAGTAGAATGGCGTAATGTTTCCATTTCATCCTGGAAAGGTCAATGTTGTTACAACGAATATTTTGTTGTTATTATCATTATTCAATTTTGCTCTGTAAAGCTTTGTTGCAAATCTTACCAAAGCATTGCTAATGCATAAACATGAATAAAATGTTAAAAATAATCCAAACCTTATGAAGCCAAGAATAAGCGAATAATGATGAATTACATGATAAATAACAACAATGCTGAAAGTGAACAAAACGAAAAAAAAAAAAAGTTTAGGAAGTAAAAACAAATACTGTGTTAGATAAATATCTTTATTAAAAAAATAAATAAAGTCTTTTATTATCTGTTATAAGATGAATACAATACAATATTGAAAACAAATGTGTATAAATTCATTGTTTTACTGGTTAAAATTGATTAATAATTATTCCACGCTGTTATGAGAGTAACAACATTGGAGTATGAGTACTGCAGTAGAGAAACAGTTTATTTTAAATGAAATTTTTACTGTAAGATGAGAAATTCTTCTATTATTAAACCACTTTCACTAGTTAATACATGCATTTCTTGTATGTTATAAAATTTTGCACCAAGGAGAGAATTACATAAAGAGCAACATTGATATAAGTAAAATCTATAGAAGTTATTTATGTTGCAGAGTAGCAGCAAAGCTTTGAAGACGTACCTCTAGCGTCAGCGGTAGCAGCAGCGAATTAGCGGAAAATACCGCCTACTCTGATCTCCAATGCTCTCGTTTATCAAAGTTTTCCAATCTTCATGCGTATGTTGTTTTCACAAAACTTTCAATTTCACTTAGGTTTCGCTCATGTTCCATAACCAATAAAAGAACACTGTTCATTTACAACTTGTTTATATAATTAACGAAATACCTATCTTTTTCCCAAACTAAATTTAAATCAAATGGAAGTAAAATACTTCCTACAAAATATTGGAAAAACAGGAAGGCAACTAACAGTTATGGAACATATGCTTATTATTTATTTCATTTTAATAAATGTTTGAAATGTAATCAAATAATAGATTATGACTATTATCATAGTCACTGTCCATGATAGATTTTGGTATTGTGTCAGTATTAAAAAAAAGTGCAGAAAAACATAGCAGTGACAAAACAAAAAGCTATAAATAATAATAATAAAAATAATAAAAGAAAAAAGCCTCAAAATAAAATTCAAGTTTATAAGAAAAGCGTGCTTATATCTAAAAGATATACGTTTATTAACTTTTTAGGAAACTGTATAACATTTAACTAGTATTACAAAAACAAGTAATTTTTTAAAAAACATTATGATAGGAATAAACAAAAATAATCTGTTCATGCAGTTCTATCTGTTTCCATAATAATAACAAAAAAAAAGAAACAAATAATCCATGGTATTAATCAATATGTAGCACAATGTATAATACAAAAATGTTAGATTTAAAATTATTAATCTAATATTCTTTCAATCTGATACAGCACTGAAAGTATATGCAAAAGAATTCATTCATTTGAAAAAGAAATGGATTTGCTTTAAGTAGAAATAACATTGTTATAGAAAAAACAGATTTTAATACATATTTATGAAAAGTGTTTCTAAAGGAATCATTTGATCTTACCATGCTATAATTATTACACGAATTAAGTTATATGTACTACATTTCTTTGTTATAGAAGTTCTTCTAGGTTAAACAAATTATTATAAATTACGATTAGTTATAAGAAATATTTAAAAAATATTTGGTTTAAATAATACTTTCTCCTTCTCTTCCTTTGTTACAATATATAGTTTAAAACAATGCATATTCAGAGAATATTACATTCTTCTAGTAACTAATATGTTCAATGAGTATATAAAAGATATAAATGTAAAATTCTATATAATACATACATGTAAAAGTAATAAATGAATGTAATTGAATAAATGAAAGTAATTGAATAAATGAAACCTTATAAAAAATTTCTTTGTTTTAGATATCACTTTGATGTATTTTAATTTACTTTGATGTACAGGTAATTTATAAAACGTTTGAACAGAAAAAATGTGAATAAATATTTTTAACTAAAATTAAAATATGCTCCATGTTTATTTACTCAACTGAGGGTAATTAAGCAACTTATATTAACACAATTATGTTAACATAAGTCTAAGGTTCATGGTGTATTTTCAAATAGTATTCAAAATCAAATGAAATAATAAAGTACTCACCTGCACATTGTTCAACTCATCTTCATATCTTCTTAGACGTGAAACTTCACTTTTTAAACTGTCAATTTCTCCAGTAGCTGCTTTTAAATGATGCGTTTTCTCGTCCACTTCTTGTTCTTTGGCCAACAACTTCATTAAAAAATATGAAAATATAAATAATAGTTCATACACTTAGTTTTGTTAAGTACGCATGCATTAAATTGAACATACTAAATGCTTTATTTTTGCCATTTCTTGGGTTTGAAAACCTTCTAGCTGTTCTGCATCTTCTTGAAAACTATACAACTTCTTTTTGTATTCTGAAACATGATATTATTAATAGAAACGTTAGTTTCATTCATTGATTATAATTAGTATAACACATAATTATATGTGATATTAATTATCATGCTTTATTTAACATGTACCTTCAGCATCTTTTAAAGATAATTCCAATGACTGTTTTGTGCGTTCTATATTTTGTAGTTCCTCTTCTAATCTGCTTTTCTCTTTTTCTTGTTTTTCAACAACTTTCTTCCATTCTTTTTCTCTTTCAAGAAGTCTTACTTTCCATTCCTCTTCCTTTTTTTCCATTCTTTTTAGCATCTCTGCTTCTTTTTTGGCTACTCTTTTCCGCCACTCATCTTCTCTGTTTTCAAATTTTTTAATATCTTTGGCAGAAAGTTGCATTCCATCATTCAATTTCAGATCAAAACTATTGTCTTTTTTTAAAGAAATAGGTGGAGAAGGTGATGCTGCATTTTCTTCTCGGGAACCATCTAATGAAAGCTGAGATCCACTAATGCTACTTGTGGATCCCGTCTATAAAAAGATTGTTATTTCTTATAATAATTTATATTACATAAACATTTATATAGATACAAGTTCAATAACAATAGAATATATTATCTATTAACATTAAATATTAAAAAAATTTTATTTTAAATATTCGTATTTAAATAATGCATTTAGTTTATCTAATTATAAATTTATCTAAAATACAACATTTTTTTTACAACGTAAAAACAAAGAAAATTCATGAAACATAATACGACTAAAGAAAACTACGTTAAAGCGAATTGTTAGCAGATATTCCAACAAGACTTGTGATAATACAAAACCGGATAATGAACACATGCAATATTAATGAACCATCTGGAAAACATATGTAGAAATATAAATTGATATTTAATTTAAAATCCTGTTAAAATTTCCCCAACGATTAATAACACTTTAAAACAATAATGAGAAATTAATGACGATCTATAAATAAGCGAATTAGGTGTTTATAGACGCGATATCGCGTTAAACACTGATAACATTTGATACATAGAAACAACACGTTTACCTGAGACATATGCCTTGAATTGATACCGCGCACATTGCCGGCATTTCTAACAACAGTTGACACGTCACTCCCTATTTCTTCTCTTATTTTATTCTTTAGCGTTGCAAACATGGTGCTATAACCTCCAACGACGCGACCAGAAAATGACAACTACCACCTGTCAATGTCAATGTGCTGACTTTGGGGTCACTAATTGGAGCAATATTAAAACCAGTAGAATAAAAGAAGAATATACCAATAATTCATTCTTTACTGCTGAAACACGGTTCGACTTGATTGAGTCATCGTAAAAACATCAGTGAATACGCGGCGACGATAACTTTACGTACAACCAAACCATGCATCACAAGCAGCCGACTGCCATACTGCCTAGTCACGTAAGTAGTTACTGGTTATAAAGTGCGATACTGTATCCCCTGTTTCGGGAAAAACACGGAAACTTAGCGCGAAATTCGAATTACTGAATTTCACTCCCACACAACAGTATGTACATACATGCACACATACATCGAGTATCACCAAGTTGTAAGATTACCATTGAATGAACAACACTTATACGTGTTTTATACTTCAGTTAAAAATAAACAGAAATGATGTATATGTATTTACATTGTGTGACGGAATACTATACATATATTTATCTTTCTGTGTGTAGAAATAATTATATAACGTCACTATGCTTTGTCAAACTCGATTCTTCTTAGGACATAAACCAATGAAGTCATTGATTCACTAGGAACATTTTTTTATAGAAGATAAAAATTAAATATCCAATGTTGGTAGAACTGCTACACATAAAATGAAGAGTGCACTTAGCGTATACGGCGGAGGCATTGTGAGTTAATGTTTTCAAATTCAACGGTTTGGGATTTGGAAGTGCATGTGGATCCTCATTTTTCGTGGTTTTTTGGTGATGTGTTGTGAAATTGGATTACAAAATGGGGGAATTCTTGAACGAAACGGCAGCTACAGTAAATTATTTCGATGCGTAAGTAGTTTTTGTTTAATTTTACGTATTTAGCATGTTACTTTTTGTTGTAATACATAGTAGGGGGTCTCTATTATTTACGCATCGTAGTTCCTTTAAACTTGCTCCTTACTACTTAAGAAAGACCTCGGATGACTGTACATTCAACTTTATGTTATGCATTTTATTTTATTTAAATATTTAACAAATATTGTATACCTGAATATTTTAATAATTTATTAAATATATACGTGCGCCTAATATAAAACTTTGTTATAAAATTGAAATTATTATTTCTTCTTTTAAGAAACAAATAAAAAGAATGAAGTACTTTTAATGTCTTATATATACTTAGCTTGTTTGTTACACATTCAATTGTCACATATTCTATTGTTTTCAGCTGTCAGTGTGTCCAATTTGATGTAAATAATAGAAAATGATTTTATCGACATTTCTTGTGAAGCCTCGAATTAATAAACAGTTTCGTTTTAAATGATATTAAACTTGCCTTGTTGTTACAGATTTGTGTAATTACTTTCGTATGTATTTAGTTTCTATTAATAAAATACACATACAAAATCTTATTTACTTTATATAAAGAAATTCGTTAAAATTAGATTTTAAGGTTACGTAAGTATTTACTTACTTATATAGTTGTTTTTGAGATGGCGCTTTTTTGTACTGTAGTGCCGTCTGGTATTAATAAGAAGAACTATAAGCAGATCGATGTATTTTTTGCGCTCCCTGGTGATATGAAAAAGCTCATTTTTAACACTTGATATTAGATGACGATATATATTTTTCACTATAAGCGGTCTGTTTAAAATATTAGATTTTTGATAAATTTTCAATATCAATATATTCAGAAAATTACCCTTAAATCAGTTCCAAATAAGCAAAGTGTTTACTTAAAATAATTTATCAATTATATTTATCTACTATTTATATGTTTACATACATGTCAAAGATTTAAAATGCAACTTTCAATTAGATTTCTCAATTTTTTATGATAATTTATGTACAATATAATCATAACTGTTAAACTTATATCTACATATACATAATTGTTAATTGAAAATTTGTGAAAGAAGTACGTATATTAAAATTATGTTATATGAATTTATATTAGATTGCTACATATGTACCATGCAAATTAAAGATTCAATTCTTTTACTGCTTATTTAAACAATGATAATTCTACCGGCCAGGGTTAGAGGTCATTTCTCATTCCAGTGGTTCTCCAGATTTATCTGTTTCTTAAAAATTCAGTAAAAAATATCAAATTTCTTATCGTCCATGTCGTAATCTCGATAGGTATCAGTTATTTAAACATGTTTTTTATTTATTATTAATTTGAATTATCGTCAATTTAACGTATAAGTTAATCGTGTAGTATCGGTATTAAGCTATAAGTTTTATGGTGTTGACTCACTTCGGGTATACGATATACCTGACAATCAATTGTAATTGTCCCTAAAGCTGTAAATCTCGGTACCTGTTTTTCAATAAGAACCGTGTTTCTTACTCACGATTATGGTTTATAAATTCTGAAGTAAACAGAATACATACTCATTTTCGTGGTCGTTACTTGCCCGCAAGAAATTAAATTTCTTCGAACTCTTTCCGAACAGGATGGGTTTTTATCAGAAAGGTAAAATCATAAAACGGATGACTGATAGGCTTGTCGGTATTTGTTCTGTAATCTACAGTTTTCTTACACGTAAGAAATTCATGAAATTTCTTGGATTCTTCTTTTTTTTTTTAATAAACCCTATGTGGGGATTTTTGAATAGAAGAATTAGAAAAAAGATTTAACTACAAAGTCTATGATTTTCAATTTTAAAATTAAATAAAAATCTGGTCAATGGATTAAAGTAGTTTTATCAATAATAGTAATAATTAAACCTTCATATATTTAAAATGGTAAAACATTTGGTCATTATACTTAATTTATACACATAAGTATGTTGTTTTTATGTTTGTACAAAAGTTAAAATTAAATTGGATTTTAGAAATTAATCAATACTAACGATATTTTTTTTCTGTTTTCTTATGAATTTATAAAGTTTATCCGGTAAATTTTATTTAACGTAATGAACAATAAAATTGTATGCATTTTAATATGCGGTGAATAAATTAACATAAAGTTTATGGATTAATTACCTGATATAAGAGAAAAAAGTTTACTAGAATTCCCAGCTGTTGCTTTCAGGAAATGTAAACAAAAATGAGCGATTACTTTTACTGGTAATCACTGATATACAAGATTATATACTGGTATAATCCTCAGAACGTCCTCAATTTTATTGCACATTTAAAGTATGACTCATAGCACGGGTTAACCCTATTTGCCGGCAGTCAGTAGAATTTTGTATTATTTGTAAATCCAATGAAGTTCAATAACATATTAACATTAATATTGTAGCTAATTTATTCATAAATTATAGAAGGTATTCACCGAGTAAAAAATTGCTTTTAACACAAATTTCGTACACCGAAGTGTCTTGTGTCTGCAGGCACTACATTAATGCTATTTAGCAATTTTAATTCGTAGATTATGCAGAATAGGGTGCGTTTACGATTGGCGCAACTGTGGAACCACGGCGCGCCTGGCTTTCCCAAAATGTGGATTGGCATCTCTTCCCACTAAAAAGAGAATTCATTAGCTCGTGAAATTTTAATGGAAATAAAAATTTGGGTCGAAATGCAATATGCAACTAAAAACAAAATAACGTTCTTATTAAGTGAAGAGTTAAATTTGAATTTGACATTCTTTGTAAATTTATGAGACCTGATCTATTCCTAATTATACCAATGCATCTTATCGATTACAATGTTCTTATGGAAATTAATTTTCATAATAACCACCGTTCACTTTTAGTTTTAAAGATACATATGCATGAAAGAATTTGTAATATTATATATTGTATTTTTTTAAGGTTTTTGTACAGTATACTGCTGTAATGTTATTATTTATGGTTTGCATACGTAATATAAATAGATATTTAGGTTTTTCAGTTTGAGATTTCTGGTTTGAATTTCTCACGAATTCCTACATTAGTAAAAATCAAAATTACAATATCTATTAAATTTTGCAGTGAACTATTATTACTAGAAATTCGGAACATTTAAGTCATTATAATAAAAAATATAATTATTCGACTATTCGACCTGTATTGCCACTAAACCAAAAATTGAGTATTATGCAAGACTGATTATGTTTATATTGCTTCTACAATTTATCATTTTATATAAAAGTATTAATAAATAAATTTTAATATAAGGTTAAAGCAGCTTATTATAACGTTGAATCAATTTACAGTGTAAATAATCAGCTTCTATGTGGATAATCGAGTACATGGGTACTCATTAAAGCTGTAATCAACATTTGTTCAAAAACGTTCAAAATTGTTAAAAGTGTCAATGCGTTCATTGCATTACAAACGAATGTGCTTAATTGAATAATGAAAAAGAAGGAAAGAAAATAAAATACATACCAACAACAGAAGATTTAAATTTGAAAATGTTCGATAGATCTCGAACATGTCTTACTATAATAATTTCTATTTTCATTGTGGAATAAAATGTGTTAAATAAAAGTTTATTTCAAAAACTGTATTAAAATGAAAAATGACTAAAATCGAAATTACTTTTGTATCAATTCAGTCCTACGATCGCATCATTAGGTATAGCATCCCGCATTATCGTATTATGTTATCATCATGCTATCACACCATACTATTTTATCTCCAAATGAGAGACGCTGCATTTGACCGATGCACACCACGTTTCCGTCTCCTTACAACCCCGCTTCTACCCTGTATTTGTTTTTGTCGTTTGGTTCTCCCTCCGTCACGTACTCCGTCTGCTCTTTATCTTTGCTCTACCGTCTCTCCCTCTTTTTCCCTCTTTGCCCATTCGCATGGGGTCCATGTGACCCTCCCTTCTCTCGGTTGCTCTTCCATCAGCTCGCAAGAATCTTCCGACCTTAAACCCTCCGCTCGTTCCTGCCCCTCGATCAGAACCACAGAGCTGTGTCGCCGCCTGCTTTTCAGTTGCGTTCAATCTGTCGTCAGAGTAGGAGGTTTCGTGGTCGTGTGGATCTTTGCGCTTCGTTGAAAATCCGCGCGTGATAAAAAGGACAACGGTCTGAATGGATTACACAGATTGGGTGTATCGAAAGGAGCAGTGATTCTTTCGATTCGATCGAGAGACTCGCGATGGAAGGCGATAGAAAACCGGTGTTAAAGCTATTGCTTTTCCCCAAGAGGACTGTGTTAAAGTACAAACTGCTGATTCAGTGACAGGGTGCTGTTTTTACGTGTTTTGTTGTCTGTCGCGAATCGATCAACAGGAGAAGAAGAGTGTTTATTCGGTGTGGAACAACGTGCTTTAGGACACAGTGGAATCGTCACCTGACGTTGGGCGAGAGTTATCTGTCGGCATTGATCGGTCCAGGAACATATAGAGGTCGATCCGTGGTAACACAGTTTCGATTTGGGACACGGATTTTTGTTTTGAAAAAAAGAAAAAAGAAGAAGTAGATGCTCCGTTTCGTAATCGTAAGACTGACGAGATTCATCGGTTCGCACCGATAATGCTCGCTTGGAAACGTGTATGTTATAATAGACGTTTCTGTGCCAAATTAACACGTGCCAAAGCGTTTCAATTGAAAGTACAAGTTTTCTAGTATTATCGTCTAACAATAACACTTTGTATTATTATCTATTGTTGTTTTATAGTTTTTATTGGTAAGGTTCGTTTTATACGCGTAAGTTGTTTTATATAAGAAGGGGACTCGTTTTATTTGTACGGATATTTTTATTCTGGTCTACACTGATGAGGAACAATTACCGCAATATGTTTTTCGCCGGCTACGGATATTCCAATCAACATCAAAACAATCCACCCTCGCCGACCAGGACCAGCGCATGGGGTAGCGTTTACAGCCCATTTCGAAAGTGAGTAACCCGCTGATTTCACATCGAGTATAGTGAATCTATAGTCAATTGTTTGTTAAAAAAAATTAGAATATAAGGCACCGTATCTAATCCTCCCTAACATACAGTGCAGTGGGGCGCAAATGTATTTGTACCTGCACCCTTTAAAACAGAATAAGTTTTTTAAAATTGGATCAAAGATTTTAATTTTTTTTTTTTTTTAAAGCTAGGAAAATTATTTCATTAGATAACGTGTTTTCGTTATTCTTAAAAAATTGCAGTTCGTATTTTACAATTTTTTTAGTAAGTAAGTTATATATGTCTATGCTAGGTTTTTCGAATTTGGATTTTGAAAAAGAATACATTTTGCAGCGAAAATGCGTCACGCAAGTAGATCAAAACGATTTTCACTACGTTTCCCCTGTCGTTACCTAAATTTAGATTGTCGTGAATATTTTAAGGTAAACCTTGCATCGTTACTTTCTCGATATGTAACAAGAGGGTGCGGTTTGACAGCTTTGAATAACAGCATCAAATGTTTCATTGTAAACACGGTAATCAAAGAAGCCGCTAAATGCAACATCCTTTTACTCGTTGCATCGTTTCTGCGAACCTGAAAATTGTCTGACAAATATTCCAAGAAGGTGGTATTTTACAAATTTCTATTGTACTTCACACTTGAATCAGTCATTTCGTATATCAATTCCTTATTCTGTATTTTAACAGATTTGTTGAAGCTTAGTAAATGCACTTACTGCACTTTATAGGTGCACTATTATTAAGCATTGTACACACGATTTCATTGAAGATAGGTTCAAAAATATACTTCATTATATTTGTCTTCAAGTCTTTGTAATTGTAAGTTTCCTGATGTACAGTATCGAGCATGGTAGACTTCCCCAGGAAAAATGGCCATATGTCCTCCCCACGTAGGTTCCCAGCCTCTTCTAACAAGGGAGCATCCCGAAGTGACAATTTCCGATTTTGATGAAACTTATGTATAATATAGATCTCGAAAAAATATTTGACACGTATTTTTTGCTGCCGACATTCATGTTAAGCTCCCAAAGTGGAGGGTGAGAATCACATTTAGTCGAATATCTCTGAAACTAGCAGAGCTAGAGGGATGGTGTAAATTGCACGATTATGTATTTTTTTATGAGGAATCCAAATATGGAAATGGATTTCCAAAATTCGCATTTGTTGAAATAATATATTAAAAAATGGGACTTTTTTGTTAATTTTTCCGTTCAAAAGTTGATGTATCTCCCTGTAAATTTCGATATGAAAAGTATACTCGCAGGTACAAAATATGGATAAAATGGAATTTTCATTTTTACATTGTAAATATAGTTAACGTGGTCGAATTTTTAACGTATTTTTGCGAGACGCAGTCCTTAAATGCATATAATCAAACAGATAAGAAACTTCTACGCTTTTACTGGTAACGGTATTACAGTGAACTTAACAACTTTGTTTCGGGTGGGGTCAAAATTACCGTCGCAAGTATAAGAATCAGCCGGGCAGGAGAATTCGAAAACCCCGTAGAATTTTGTTTCACGAATACATCAGTTATAATTTGTAATCGCTGTAGTAGTGTTGTTTGTATAAAACGTGGTGTCAGGAACATTTATGTTTTAATCATTTTCTAGTCGAGTATCATTATTGCAATCATTACATTGAATAAAGTAATAATTTCATTATTTTCAGCTTTTCAGAAAATTGCAGGAACCAACGGTTACACCAGCTGTTTTCAGAGCTCCCATATCTTTGTAAACGTGCAACAATTTGGTTTCAGTTGCCAAAAATTTGAAACAATTCGGGTGCAATAGCACCGCGCGCCGCCCGGCTGATTCTTATACCTACGACGGTAATTTTGACCTTACCCAAAACAAAGTTGTTAGGTTCACTGTAATACCGTTACCAGTAAAAACGTAGAAGTTTTTTATCTGTTTGATTATTATATGCATTTAAGGACTGCGTTTCGCAAAAATGCGATAAAAATTCGACCACGTTAACTATATTTACACTGTAAAAATGAAAATTCCATTTTATTCGTATTTTGTACCTGCGAGTATACTTTTTATATCGAAATTTACAGGGAGATACATCAACTTTTGAACGGAAAAATTAACAAAAAAGTCCCATTTTTTAATATATTATTTAAACAAATGCGAATTTTTGAAATCCATTTCCATATTTAGATTCCTCATAAAAAAATTCATAATTTTGCAATTTACACTATCCCTCTAGCTCTGCTGATTTCAGAGATATTCGACCAAATATGATTCTCGCCCTCCACTTTGGGGGCTATTTTCACCCCCTTAACATGAATGTTGGCAGCTACAAAAAAATACGTGTCAAATATTTTTTCGAGATCTATATTATACATAAGTTTCATCAAAATCGGAAATTGTCACTTCGGGATAGTCCTTTGGTAAGTTTACAGATTTTTGGGTTTCTGGCCCTCACCAGGCGTTTCCGAGGAGAGTGGGGCCTCCCACCACTTGCGTATAAATATTTACGCAAGAACATTTTTTACATACGCCATTTTACCTAGGGAAACCTACTGTGCTCGATATTGTACAATAGTAAATTAAGTAAATAAAATTATTGAGTAACCATTAGCGTCATATATGTATGCAGTTTTTATTACTTATCTATTTTGTTGTTCAAATATCTGTTTGTAATTTGTATTAGATTAAACATGATTTGATGACATAAATGTATCATGTAATAATATTTATGATATACCAATTTAAAGGTTAAAGTTATATGAAAATTATCACATAAAATGGCTAATCGATAGTTACAGTAAACAATTATGAAGTTTGACACGATTTAATGACATAAAAATAGCTCAAAATAATGTTACTCTGAAGGGTTGTAGATACATAGTATGTAGGTTTCGTTAATATTCTTCATACAAATTGGTTAATTGTTCGTTTAAAATGGAATATTCACTAATGAACAGTACTATGAGCTGTATGTACATTACCTGCAATGAAAAACTAATAAAGTATTAAGAATCATAACACCTTTATACAGGGTGATTCTCTTGCTACGCAAGACAAAAGCCGTGCCGCACAATCGAACCTTGCTGTTTTTGCGGGTAAAGAGACCCAGGGGCCATATCGCCGGATCCAAGACTGCTCTGTGTGTGTTTATGGCTGAGACGAAGGACAAGAAACGGAACAGCATGGGTTCCATTGTGCGGCACGGCTTTTGTCTTGCGTAGCGAGAGAATCACCCTGTATATATAGTCATTTTTATTGAACTTTAGGCTTTAAATTGATATGCTATAAGTGCTATTTCGTGGTACTTTTACAAGATGATACTAGATTTTTTCTATTTGTTATGGAATAATCTAATGTCACGTGTACAATTTTTGTTTCAAATTAATGGAAGATTCCAACTACGCAGTGGTAAAAGTAGTACAAAGGGTTGGTATCTGTTCCTGGTGTGCAAATACCAGATCAATTGTTGTTTTCTCCTTAAACTGACTCATAAATACACTATGATGATTAATAGTTTGCTTAGCAAGCTATTTATACTCCGAAAAGTATCGAAGACGAAATCCTTTGTTTGCTTATTAATCTATTCAAGTTTAGAGTTCATCGTTAATATCTTCCACGAATTTAACCTTAGATTCGTTGGTTTCGTAATTAACACATTCATTAACATAAATTCGTTTTTATTAAAGCTACTACCGAATAGGAACCATGAATCATTTAGCCAGACGTTTGTTTATAGTATTTACGTATACTATAATGTGTAGGAATGAATTAATTAAGAGAAAGAATACAGGAACGAGTTAATAGAGTCATATTCAATTGTACTTTATTCTAGCATGGTTGAATATTAAATTGCAAGAGGTCAACGCTCATTGCGATTATACTACTTACAATTAGTCAGCTTTGTTTCAAATTACAAAAGTACAAGAAAAGAAGGTGCATTGTTTATTTAAAAATTTTTTATAGTTCTTTTTTTCATTTTGAAAACTGATGTAATTTAAATATTCTTTTAATAATATTTTTTTATATAAAAGAAAATGAATACCAAAAATTAATGAACAAAATATATTATGTATTATGCAAGTAATTATTTTAATTATTTCTAGAGAAACACACATTAATTTTATTGTTCTTTTTTTTTAATACGAGTAGTTTTTACTATATTGTAGCTAGAACTGGAGCTATTTGAACTTCGTGGTATTTAAATTATTCGCAAGTACATACTTAAATGCCATGAATAAACTTTAAATACTCTAGTATTCGAATATACAGGGTGTCCCATGCAACTGGGACAAGCTATAGCTTTGAAACCGTAAAAGACAGACGAAATTAAGTAGTGTTGAATTGAGCATAACTTCCCGATTCCGGAAATGGAGGCGTTTCAAAGATTTCAATGTCAATTTTATTCTTTTAGACGAAACTATGCACTTTTCTATATGTTTCGAAGTTCTGTACGAAAAGAGCTTTGTTCTCTACAAAAAGTATTAAGATACTTGAATTGAAAATTGATTGGTTCAAAAGGAATCTTCAGAAGAGACTTTTCCTGTCACTTTGTAAGATATTTTTCGAAATAATCAATTTTCGACCCAAGTATCAAGTACTATTTTGTAAAGAATAACAAAACGCATCGATTGACGTCTAATAAAGTACTTATCCAGTTCTAATCAAATTTTTTCAAATCATGTTCCCTACACATTTACTTTAACCTCTGTCGATCCTTGGGAACTGGAGCCATTCGAATCTTTTGGTATTTAAATTACTCGTTGGTACTTTGGTGCCATGAATAAGCTTTCAATATTTTAGCAATCGAACATAGAAGCACTTGTATACAGAGTGTTAAATAAGAAAAAGGCTTAGGATCTGTATATTCGATACACTGTTCATAGGATTGAATAAAAAGAGAGTAAATAAGTATTATTTATAAATTATTAATTAATATAACTAATCAATAATTAGTTTCCAAACAAGTATCACGAATACTTAAAATAAAAGAATTGAAAATATAAA